CACGGCGCGGTGCGTAGGTATGCGCTGTCGAAGTGACAGCGCAAGGCGCTCTGGCCATGCGTAGGCCGAAGTGACAGCGCAAGGCGCTCTGGCAATCCGCTCAGCACGGCCCAGCTGCGCACTCTTCGTCGCGCCGCACGTGGGCGCCGTGGACGCCGCGGTTGAGAAACCCACCACATGAGCCCAAGTAAACCGACCATCACGCTCAGCAGAATCCATCCCGAGATGGGCACGGGGGTAAGATCGGTGCTCTCGTTAGGCATTCTCTGCTTGTAGCTCGAGGCGGCTGCTCGTAAAAGGAGTTTGAGCACCTCAGGTTTGACTCCTTCAGGGTGTTCTTGTCCTTGCACAAATCTCGCCACATCATCGAAAGCTTCATCGACATCTCCGCTATCGGTCAAGAGCTTCTGAAGGCTCGTAAATCTCGCCCGCTTCTCCTCCGATAAGCCCGCCTGCCAATCTCGAACATACTTCTGTAGGATGCGTTCGTGCAACGCGTACCCGCTCAGTTCTCCGCCGGCGTTAGAGGCATGCGTTGCCGCCTCGCCAGATGAAGCGTCACCCATCTCGGCCGCGACGTGCTCCTTTAGGGATTCGACGCAGGCGGTGTGGCCCTGCCTCTGGGCAAGCTTCAGCGCCGTATCGGCCTGCCAGTCGCGCATTCCGGCATCGGCGTCAGCCCGCAGCAGACGGCGAACCACGCTCGCGCGGCCATGGTAAGCCGCACCCATCAGCGCGGTACCTCCGTCCTCGTTTTGGTGGTTGACGTTTGCACCACCTCTCAGCAGCAAATCAACCACGTGGTCGTGGCCGTGAATTGCGGCGACGTGTAAAGCTGTTGCACCGATTTCGTTCTGCAGGTCGACCAGCGCGCCACGCTGCAGCAGCGTGTCAACCAGTGTGTCGTGACCGCTGATGGCAGCCGCAAGCAGCGGGCTCCAAAAAGCTCCTGCAATGGATAACCCAGCATTGACCTCTCCGCCGCCATCGAGCCACGCCAGTACCGCCGCCGTATCCCCTCCTTTCGCACTCGCGGCCAGGATTCCAGGAGGTACCACTCGCTGGAGCCCGAGGCCGCCGCTCGCACCCTGATCACGTCCGGCGGAAAGAACACTTGAGCAGCTGGCCTGCGCGAGGAGAAAGGAGTAGCCGTTCACGGTTGCGAACGAGAGCAGCAGGAGGTATCGATCGAACGAGCCAACCGATTTGCTCATTTGCCGGGACCGGGTTTTCGTGGCGAGCAGAGACCACGCGCCATTCACGGATAGGTTATAAGAATGTTACAAATGACTACCTCGCTGGACACTAGGCACGGGACTGGCGCGGTTATAAGAAACAACCACTACATTTTCCCCCTCCCTGGCCCTGGATGTGAGGCTAATGACTGCACTCCAAGTGCTCCAAGTGCACAGCACAAGCTTTGTGTGTGTGTGTGTGTATACCACAAGCTTTGCCTGACGGCTTCAGCATTGCAGCGAAAAGCACCTTTTTCCAGACGGACGGATCCCCCCCTGTGAAAAAGTGAGGCGTGGTCTCTACTCGCCAGCGTGTGTGCCCAGCGTGAGTGTGGCAAACAAAAAAGAAAAACTGGCTGCCGGACACTGTGGATGCAGTGAGTAGTGTGCGCTAGAAAGGAAGCGACGGCACTCCCCGCCCTGGATTCTCGGGCGGCGGGGCCGGTGGAGGGGAGGAGGAGAAGAAGAAGAACAAGGAGGCAGCGTCAATGGTGGCCTGCCCGTGCCGTGAGGTATCTTCGCATAAGGTATCTTCGCATACGGACCCCAAACAATCAAGCAAGGCGCGCGGGCAGCCCGGCCAATCCTTCTCCCACAAGAACGGCCACGGCTACGTCAAGGCGCATCACGGTTTCTACCACGACGCGATCTTTGTCAAGCGCAACAACTTCAACCTGCTGCTCCACGAGACGTTCGGCGGCGGCTTCTCGCCTACCGCCGTTCTCAAGCTGCGCCGCCTCGCAAAGTATCGCGCGCGGCAGCGTTGACCGCACGGCCTACTCGCCCAAGTACTCGCTCTCTTTTATGTCCCACCATGCAGAGCGCATCTCTCTCTGTTGTGCGAGGCGTGAACCGCGCCGTTCGCTCTCACCTGGCAACCCTGTCTGCAAGTCTCGCGCGCGCGTGAATAGGTAATCGGTAATCTAACTAGGTAGGGCCCGCCGGAGCTTTTTGGAGAATTTTGTCATCCAGGGCCGGCCAAGCGAAAAGTAAACAAAGAGGGAGATCACACCTCACAAAAGTTCTCTCTGTAAGAGCAGAAGGGCCTTTGCCAGGCCCGGGGCAGCCGCCAGCTTTTCTTCTCTCGGGCCCCAAGAGCCAGCGGCTCCCTCGCAGACGCGACCTCTGAGGCGAGCGCGCATGGTCGAGCAGAGGAATTCGGACTCTTCGCTGTCCGCCGCGCAGCAGAACCTCAAGGCGAGGTGCGCTTCCCGGTCTCAAAGGGCCTCGCCGATGACGGATTGAAAATCCCTCACACCAAGATCGTGCAGGGCGGAGACACACATGTCCCTAAATCCCACCTCGTCTCAGAGTTTGACCGTTTTATTACCTTAAGGTACTTTGTTTATTTATTTATACACGGCAGAGAAAATGACAGATCTTCATCGCTTCAGTGTAAACCCTCACCCAACAGCCCCCACTCGACAGTCTCTACTCCCACTTCCGTCTCGACTCTACCGTCTCTCATCACGTCTCTCTTACGAACAAAGCACTGGTGACGAAATGGCAAAGGCCAAAGCCCTACTAAGGTCTAAGCGCAAAGGGTTACCGGCACTAGTACTGCACTTCATTGGACACTGTTCCAACTCGAGTCAACTTGTTTGTGCTTGAAAAGGACTTCCTCTGCTCAGGGCAGCCTCTTGACGTGTAAGTATTCCAACCCGTGGCACCCTGATCACGTCCGGCGGAAAGAACGGAGCAGCTGGCCTGCGCGAGGAGAAAGGAGAGTAGCCGACGGTTGCGAACGAGGCCGAGACCAGCAGGCCGAGACCAGCATCGATCGAACGAGTGGCACAACCTGCACGTTTGCTCATTTGCGGCTTCGGTTGTGCGCCGAGCGAATACAAAAAAAAACAAGGAGTCGTGTGCCCTATTTTGGCTTTTCTTCTCTCTTCAGGCCAGGCTGCTCGAACTATGTTCACAGACCTTGTTGTTGAGAAGAAAATACGTCCTATGGCGCTTTGCGCTGGTCTATGAGAGGTTGAGGTGCGAGCCCTGGAGGCCCTGGGGGTGGGGGGAGTTCACAGCCTTGTTATTGAGAAGAAAATACCGCGCTTTCCGTCCGCCGTTTCATCTCGAGTTTGCCCGAGTGGTAAAAGCAATCGAATTGGGTAAAAGCTGCAACGATCGGGAAAACTGGCCGAATGGTATGGGGAATCAAAAGAAAAGGGAGAGACCAAGGGCGACGCCAATTAGCTTAAGGTCGACATCCCCTCCGGCACTCCATGGACGGCCGAGCAATATTTGTTCATTAATATTACTAATTGATGCGCTTTTTGCACGGCTGAGCCCCCCCCTCCCTCCCCCGCGCCCATTCCCTGCCTGCCCTCTCCCGCCACGCGCCGTCCGAGCCCTCTCTCCATTCCAGCTCCATTCCTGCACAGGAGGAAATTGGAATCAATCAGACGATGGGGAAGTGGTTCGACCCCACGTAAATCCGAGACGGTGACGGGCGCTGTCTCGGTGATCTCAGGCCCAGTGAGGTAGTGCACCAGACCTGTCCCGGATCCTGCTGGACAAGCTCCTCTTGTAGCTCGATCGGTCACTACACACCGCCATCGCCGTCGACGTCTCCCTGTGAGATGATGGAGAGGGGGGAGCGACGACACCGCTCGATCTACCCTCAGGGGTCCCTCAGCGGCGTGCACCTCGATCCTGTACCGTGTTTGTTATGACCCCCCCCCGATGAGCACACCAGTGAGGGAGGGCGAGACGGTCGAGGGGTCCCGTACCATGGTGCTCAAGTGCTCAAGAAGAAAATACCTCCTATGGCGCTGTGCGCTGGTCTCTGAGCGAGGTTGAGGTGCGAGCCCTGGTTCACAGCCTTATTATTGAGAAGAAAATACGTCCTATGGCGCTGTGCGCTGGTCTGTGAGAGGTTGAGGTGCGAGCCCTGGGGGCGCGGCGCTTGGGCCAGCTTCCTGCAGGCGCGGATCAAGCCATGGGAGTATGGTCTTGGGGACAAGGCTTACGTCGGGCAGCGGCAGATCATCACAGAATGGAAGGGCCGGAACCTGTCCCTCGAGAAACAACGGTTCAACAAGACGGTGCAGCACTACCATGGGCGTGTGGAGCACCTCATTGGCCAGGTTAGTGGACAACCGTATGGCTCTGTGCACTACGTGGCGTGGCTCGTTCACCCTGCTTGCCGCGGTCATGAAGATCGCGGCGCACATGGTTGGGCTCCAGGAGCGTATGAAGGGACCTAGGTATGATGTGTTTGGCCCGTGGCCGGTGTGCCCGCCGCACACACATCACGGCGCAGTTTCCTTAGTGCTTTGCTGTTTTTGCTGCTAATCTCATGAATTGTTTACAATTTCTTCTCACTGCAGCACCTCCGCGCCGCCCAGCCGTGCAGCCCAGCCAGCCGGAGGCGGGCCGCAAATGTCCCAGCCGCGCCCCCGAGCGAGGCCGAGCGAGGCCGAGCGGTCCCGAGCGGTCCCGAGCGGTCCCGAGCGGTCCCGAGTGGCCCCAGAGCACCCCAGAGCACCCCAGAGCCTACCTGAGAGCCCACGGCCGCTTGGCAGTCTCCTGCCACGACCCTGTTTCTTGTAATGACTAACATCCCTAAAAGGAGAGCCCTTCGAACGTGTCAGTTTAACACCGTTTAGCGCGGGTTAAGGGCCCTTAACCCAGGGCGGTTTAGCGTTGTCTACCCTGAACGGTCACTAAACGCGCCTAAACGGTGTTGATCCAGCCTGCGGCCACCATTTGTCGGGCTGGACTAGTCCTGTTTAGTCGTCGTTTAGTCCGACGATCGGGCGTTTAGCCGGATGGCGTCCACGCCGCCTCGGCTCCAACCCCATCGACCGCCGCCTGCCCCTCCGGCTCGGTCCCGTCGGCTCCGCCGGCCTCGACCGCCGCCCCGCTCGGGGGGCGTGCCTCCTCCCCTCCCGTCTCGGTCCCGGCTCCGGGTCCGCCCTCGGCGACCGCCGCCGGCTCGGCCTCGAGTTGTGCGGGTGGGTCGGTGGCCTCTCCTGGCGAGCGCGTCGGGGTGGAGGAGGTCTCCTGCCCCTCGCGGGCCTGGCGGGCTTGCTCCTTGTGCACCTCCCACCCTGGGTCGGTCTCCACCCTCGAGTCACCGGAGCCGACAGCGGCTGCAATGCGGCCGTTGGGCGTGACGCGAATGTAGGTGAGGGTGGCGTTGAGTTCCTCGCGGGAGGCGGCGAGCGGAGACTCGGGGGAAGGCGACGGTGGCGGACTCGCGCCGTTTGCGGTGTCGGTGGCGGTGCGCGCGGCCGTGGGAGATGCTGGCATATGTCTGACGGTAGAGGAGCGTGGACGCGCGCGAAACTTGTGGAGGGGTTTAGGGCGGTTTAGTGTTAAACGGAGCTCCCCGGCCAGGCAGAGCATTTGTCGAGGCGGTTTAGCATCGTTTAGGCGTGTTTAGTGACCGTCTAGGGTAAACGACGCTAACCCGCCCTGGGTTAGGGGGCGCTAAACCACCCTAACCCACCCCGTTCGAGGGGCTCTCTAAAAGGCCCGCGCCCACCCCCCCGCCCCCCGGGGCGCACAGGAGCAGGTGCTAGGACGGGCTGCGGCTATAGCGACCGGGCTGCCGTGTGCCATTCGCCTCCTACTTCGACGCATGTCGCACGTCACGTCTCCAACCGGCCCAGTGCTGGGAGCTCACCCTCGTCGCTGGGCCGTAGTTGGCGACGTCCTCAACCAAAACAAGCCGGCGTTTGATGTCGCCGCTCGGCTTGAGGCCTGCGGCCGCAATGTCGCCCGAGTGTCGCCGTACTGCAAATCTGGAGAGGTTGCCACCTCGCTGGAGGCCGTGCCCGGCGAGATCGACGCCGTCAACCTCATCATCTCGCCAAAGCTTGGCGTCGACGTGCTGGAGGCCGCTGCGGCTCGGGGAATCAAGTGCGCTGCCGCGTGGGATCCATACACAAAGCACCGCGCCTTCACAGGGCGCCTATTCCGCCTGTTCCGCCTGCAGGTACGTCTTCATTCAACCAGGTGCGGATGGCGGCGAGGTGCTTCCACGCGCCGCAGCTCTGGGGCTGACTGTCCAACAGGGCTGCGTTCTCGTGACTCCGTTGCCGCCGCTGCCTCAAGAGTGACTAAGTGCAGCAAGAAGGTTTCGATGTTCCCCGCGATACACACTCCCCACATGTAAAGCTTGTGCACACCCAAAAATACCACAGAGCTACGCGCGAACGCCCGAGACTGCTCGTCGGACGTCGCCGCGCTCACCTGCCGCGCCGCCGCTTCGCGCTTGCCGCGCGCGCCTACGTCAGTATAGACGCCTAGAGCGTAGGGCGCCGCTGCTGCCCCCGGCGCACCCGCGTCGCGAGGCAGCAGGCGCAGAGGTGGCCGCGGGGGCTCCCTGGGGCCTGGGGCTGGGCGCGACCCACGCCGCACCGCGCGCGCCGACCTTGATTTAAACTACAGACTGTGGCTAGGGCCGTGGAGTTGAGGACATCCGGGGACGCGACCCACTTCACAGACAGTCCCGCGCCTCGCCGCTAAGACGGGGACACCGCCTCCCACGACTATGGGTCGTGTTCCCGCGGCGGAGAGTGAATCCGACCACGCAGCGCTCTGCGCTCGTCGGCGGCGGCTTCCTCCAACCTGCGCTGCGCTCGGCGAACCTCGACAGCGCCTTCGGTGGCATGCAGCTCTTCGCTCCTTGAAGAGCAGCTCTGCTGCTCACACGCTGCCTCTGCACAGATGTGCATGTGCGTGTGCATGTCCATGTCCATGTCCATGTCCATGTCCATGTCCATGTCCATGTCCATGTCCATGTCCATGTCCATGTCCATGTCCATGTCCATGTCCATGTCCATGTCCATGTCCATGTCCATGTGCATGTGCATGTTGCACCGTCGCAAAACTTGCATGGATATGCGGATGGTGGCATAAGGTGACTGATACACCATCGAAGGGCCTGCGCTGGCGCACAAGCCACAACCGCCAGGGGGGCTGCGTTGATAATTTACCCCCCACGTGCCATACGACCACAGTACGGGGAGGCGGAGCAGACGCGCAGGGCGAGACGAGGTGGAGGGAGCAGGACTTTGAGGAGATCAGCAGGAGGATGTACGAAGAGATTAGGAGCAGCAAGGACCCGAGGGACCATGTGGAAGACGGCTAGTGCTAGTCCAACCATCGCGCATCGGGGGGGAGGACGACCCCGGCTAGTCGCCGACCACACCCACAAAGAACCCTGCACAAACATCGCACGGGCGGGGACCTCATAGATGGGCCCAGGTAGGAGGCTCCACACCACCTGAATCGCGTCGTGCCACCTGAAAGCCACAAAATGCCGGATTTTGCACGAGACACACGGGGAAAGCGCCACGTGCCTCCACGAGTCCTTTGCAGCTTTTTGCACAAAATGCAGGTGGCTTTAGCCACTTGCTCCATGAGCAAAACAGTGCAAAAAGCACCTGGAGCAGATGGCTTACGCCGCCTGTGGACATGGACAAAACAGTGCAAAAAGCACCTGGAGCAGATGGCTTACGCCGCCTGTGGACATGGGCAAAACAGTGCAAAAAGCACCTGGAGCAGATGGCTTACGCCGCCTGTGGCCATGCGCAAACAGTGCAAAAAGCACCTGGAGTAGATTCCAAACGCCGCCTGTGGCCATGTGACCGCTCGGGTGGCGCCAGGTGGCTTCGCCCCCCTCCAAGCCACCTGCCCCCCTCGCCACACCTGCCTGGAGGGCTGGAGCACGTGCGCCACCTGGGCCCGGGCAGGTGGCTCCAGGTGGCTTCGGCCCCTCTAAGCCACCTGCATGCCCCCCCTCGCCACACCTGGAGGGCTGGAGCACGTGCGCCACCTGGGCGTCACTTCGGGAATTTCATCGTGCGTGTTCTTTTGAATAGGAATGTACTATACACCGCCTCGGCACCACGAGCCGCCCCCGCCGCGCCTCCACAATCCACTCTCGCAACTCTTCCGCGCAGCCAGCACACGACGTCGACGAGGCCGACAAACAAAGCTCTGCATGGCCTGGTTTATCGGGGATCGAGTGATGGCGTATTATCGGGCAGTCTTCTCATTGGCGAGTCAGACTGCTCAGCGTCGGCAGCAACGGCGCGTGAGCAGCGCAGCCACCGGCTCCTGCGGCGTTTGCAGCCACACCAAACGCCCGCGCGGGCCGGGTTGAAGCCCCAGGCTTATGTCGACGCCGGACATTGATTGTAGCCGCCGATGACCGCCGCAGGCCCTCTTTCACACACCCCACAGTCCCAGTTTGCAGCGCGGGGAGGAGCGGGGAGGCTCGCGTTTGGCAGGCCAGCCCTTCCGTGGCTCGGATTTTCCGTTTCCGAATTCAAACTTGCGCCAGGTGGCGCACGTGCTCCGGCCCTCCAGGTGTGGCGAGGGGGGGCATGCAGGTGGCTTGGAGGGGCCGAAGCCACCTGGCGCCACCTGCCCACCCATCAGGCCCAGGTGGCGCACGTGCTCCAGCCCTCCACGTGTGGCGAGGGGGGCGGGGCAGGTGGCTTGGAGGGGCCGAAGCCACCTGGAGCCACCTGCCCAGGCCCAGGTGGCGCACGTGCTCCAGCCCTCCTCGTGTGGCGAGGGAGGGGGGGCAGGTGGCTTGGAGGGGGCTGAAGCCACCTGTTGCCACCTGCCTGGGCCCAGGTGGCGCACGTGCTCCAGCCCTCCACGTGTGGCGAGGGGGGCGGGGCAGGTGGCTTGGAGGGGGCCGAAGCCCTTGGCGCCACCCGAGCGCATCACATGGCCACAGGCGGCGTTTGGAATCTACTCCAGGTGCTTTTTGCACTGTTTTGCCCATGGCCACAGGCGGCGTAAGCCATCTGCTCCAGGTGCTTTTTGCACTGTTTTGCCCATGTCCACAGGCGGCGTAAGCCATCTGCTCCAGGTGCTTTTTGCACTGTTTCGCTCATGGAGCAAGTGGCTAAAGCCACCTGCATTTTTGTGCAAAAGGCTCTAAAATGGCCGAAATCCCTGTTGGCGCACGTGGCGATTGCCACGTGTGCCTCGGCTAAGAGGCCTCTCCTAGGGCCTCTCCAGGCGAGAGTCAGGTGGCACGACGCGAGTCAGGTGGCGTGGAGCCTCCTACCTGGGCCCATCTCTCGGGGACCTGTTCCTTTTTACCCATCTCACAGTAGAGGTGTCCGTTTTTATTTATTTATTTCGACCTGAGCAATCAGCAATCCCGTCCTACCTCCTACACCCTCTACACGGACCACGCGACGCACGAGTTGCCTTGCCCCCCCTTTCAACATTCAAGTTTCATTGCAAGCGTTTCAACTTTCATTTTATTTATGCACACGCAAATCGCAATCGCTTCGCATCCGATCAGCACACGTCGCGTCGTCACGCGCGGGTGGGGTGGCGTGGGGTGTGTGTGTGTGTGTGTGTGTGGCTGATTGCCCTCCTATCCGGTATCGCCGCCCGCGCTATCTCTCCACCACACGAGCACGAGACTCCATACAGACTGCACACATAGATAGAGCTGCGCGTCCGAGCTGCTCGTCGCTCCTACCGCGCCGCCGCTTGCCGCGCCTGCTGCCGCACCCGCAGCGACAGCACCGACGCGAGCGCCGCGGTGAGCACCGCAAGCAGCAGCGTGTCCCACTCCGGCGCCGCTGCGCGCCACAGAGCGGCGAGATCCGCGGCACCCGCGCCCGTCGCGCCCTCCCCCTCCTCCGCCGCCTCCCCCGCGGCGATGCCCCAGCCCCTCGCCCACGCGGTCGCCAGCAGCCGCCGCGCCGCGAGGACGGGGGAGTCGGAGCGCCCCGTGTGAGCCTGCCACCTAGAGAGTATCAATGAGTACGAGTTCGCACTGATGAGTAGTACTTAGCGAGCGCCGCGTGCGAGACTGCCACCTAGAGAGTATCAATGAGTACGAGTTAGCACTGATGAGTAGTACTTAGCGAGCGCCGCGTGCGAGACTGCCACCAAGCGACCAGCCGCAGCTCGAGGAGCGCCAGCTGCACGGGCAAGTACGCGTCCGCCGACGCGTCCATCGCCTGGTCGTAGTGCCGCTCCGCCAGGTGCACCTACAGAAAAAAGAAAACGAGATCCCAACAAGAATGGCGTCGCGGCGGCGCCAAGCTCCGCGCGAGGCGCACGTCGCTGGGCAGCCCGAGCCCGTGCGTGTACATGTACGCCAAGTCGAAGGACGCCTGCGCGACTCAGCCGTGAATGAGGAGTGGCCACATCGTGACGCAGAGGGGAGGCCTGAGGCAAGGCCTGAGGCAAGGCGAGGTAAACTTCTCCACACACACGAGGTGGTGGGGCAAGGGCCAGGGCAACCCTCGCGACTCCGCGTCTAGACGACAGGAGCCCCCCAGTGCGCGTGGGTGAGCGGTGTGGGAGTCTCGTGCCTGCGTGCGTGCGTGCGTGCGTGCGTGGGTGTGTGTGTGTGTGTGTGTGTGTGTGTGTGTGTGTGTGTGTGTGTGTGTAGAGAGAGAGAGAGAGGGAGAGAGAGCGAGAGAGAGAGAGAGGGAGAGAGAGAGAGAGAGAGAGGGAGAGAGAGAGAGAGAGAGGGGGGGGGGGGGGGGAGGGGGAGTCTGCGCCATGTAGAAGGAGAAGGCGCGCTGAACTGTCTCGGGGGCGTCTCGGAAGTGCCTCGGAAGCGTCTCGGAGGTGTCCGCGCCTTGTAGAAGGAGAAGGCGCGCTGCGCGAGCGCCTCGCCGGACAGGCCGACCACTTGCGAGTCGGGGGAGGCCATGTAGTGCTCGTCGAGCAAGAAGGCGACGTTCGACTGCGCTACCTCGTACCCCCCCTCGGCGAGAGACGCGTACAGCTGCAGCGGCGCCTGGTCTCGGCACATCTCGCGTCACCTCGCGTCATCTCGGAGAGGCGAGGCGGGCGAGGCGGGCGGCTGCAGCGGCGCCTCCCCCCCGCCCGCCCAGGGGGAGATATGGGGAGATATGGGGAGGTATGGGGAGATATGGGGAGATCGCCTCCTCCCGCCCGCCCAGGAGGCCGTCGTGCGCCTCCATCAGCATCGACCCCCACGGGCCGCGCTCCGCGACGGCCTTGAGGAACTGGACGGCAACCTGATACCCGAGATTGCCCGAGATCACCCGAGATGACCCGAGATGACCCGAGATGACCCGAGATGACCCGAGATGACCCGAGATGACCCGAGATGCCCCGAGATGACCCGAGATTGCGCCCTCGAGGAGCTGGACGGGTACAGGGTACGAGGCGGCGGTGCCGAGCCCATTCAGGTGCATCTCCCCTATCTCTCTTCCACATCTCCCGCACATCTCTCCCCATGTCTCACCGGGCACGAGGCGGCGGTGCCGAGCCCATTCAGGTGCATCTGGCCGAGGTTGTAGAGGGCGAGGGTGTGCCCTTGGTGGGCCGAGAGGGTGAAGTGGTGCAGCGCCTTGTCGTGCGCCTTGCGAGAAGGTTCACAGAAGGTTCACGGAAGGTTCACAGAAGGTTCACGGACGGCTGCTGGAGGGTGGAGTGGCGCAGAGGCCGTGTCTGTGCGCCTTGCGCACGCCGAGGCCGGCGATGTGCATCGCTCCGAGGTTGAACTGAGCCTGAGGTGGGTGGTGGTGGGGGGGGGGGGAGATGAAGGGGGGGGGGGGGAGATGTGCCTCGCGTCGAGGGGTTGAGCTGCGCCTCGGCGTTCCCTCGCTCGGCCGCCTGCAGGGAGGTGTGGGGGGGAAGATGACGAGACTCGCCGGATTCACCCGAGATGGTCCGAGCTGGTCCGAGCTGGCCCGAGATGGTCCGAGCTGGTCCGAGATGGTCCGAGCTGGCCCGAGATGGTCCGAGCTGGCCCGAGCTGGCCCGAGATGGTCCGAGCTGGCCCGCCACCTTTTGGAAGAGCTGCAGCGCCTTGGAGTGCGACTGCGCGACCCCGTACCCCTGCATGTACATGTAGCCGAGCCCGTTCTGGCTCGGCGCGTGCCCCTTGGCGGCGCCCTTGCGGAAGAACTCGAGCGCGGTGGCGTTGTCCTGCTCCACCCCCATCCCCTGCGCGTACATGTGTCCGAGGTGCGAGTACGCCGCCGCCTACTCTCTTCCACTGGGTTTGGGTACCGGGTCGGTAGGGTACACCGAACGTGCGAGTCTACGCCGCCGCCTCGCCCGCCGCCGCCGCGCGCGAGTAAAACTCGAAGGCGCGGGCGTGGTCCGGCACGAGCCCGCGCGCGCCTGTTCACAGCTTGCAGGTGTGAAGAGACGCCGTTCACAGCTCGGTGGTCCGGCACGAGCCCACGCGCGCCATGCAAGTTGAGGTGCGCGAGCGTCAGCTGCGCGTCGACAGAGCCCTTCCTCGCGGAGTGCTCGTAGTACTGGATCACGTCGTCGTCTGCGCCTCTCTTGCCGCCGCCGCCCAGAGGCGTGTCGAGCGAGAGGCGGACCTGTTCACAGCGCGAGGTGTGAACGAGGAAGTGTCTAGGAAGTGTCTAGGAACTTCTCGACGAGGCGGACCTGTTCACAACGGCTCGGACCGCCGCGCGTGAGGCGGCAAGCAGTCTCCTCCGCCTCGCCGCCGACAGCGGGGCAGCGGGAGAGGCCACCTTTTCGAGGAGCTTGCCGCCGCGCAGCCGCTGTGCAGAGGAGACGACTCGCTCGGCGACGGGGGAGTAGTAGAGGAGCGCCTTGCCGCAGTCCTTCGGCGCGTCCACGCCGAGGAGGTGCCGGTACCCGAGCGCCAGCTGCGCGCCGACAGAACCTCCTTCGGCCTACAGGGAAGCCTCCGAGAAGGTTCCGAGACAGTTCCGAGGTTGACTGGGCCACAGAGCTTCCTTCGGCCGCAAAGTGGAAGAACGTCATCGCGAGGGGCGTGTCCTTGGGCGCGTTGAAGCCGGCGGCGTGGAGGACGCCGAGCGCGTACTGCGCCTCGGGCGCCCCGAACGCCGCCGCGCGCTGGAACAGGTCGTACGCCCGCTCTCCGTCCCGCTGCACGCCGTCGCCCTGGAGGTACATGTGGCCGAGCGCCGTGGCGGCCGCGCACGCGTCGTCCAGGCTGACGAGGCTGGTCGAGTTGGCGGCGGCGATAGCGGCGTACAGCGGCGCGGCCTCGGCGGGCTGCTTTGTGGACCGCCCGTCGTCGCCGTTGTGCAGCTTGCGCGCGTGCGCCAGCAGGGCGCTGGCGTTTGCGACGCCGGCGTCGGCGCAGGCTCGCTGCAGTGCTGTCGCCGTGGAGGCGGCGGCGGCCTCGTCGCTTTGCGCGACCGAGCCGACAGCAAGAAGCAGCAGGGAAAGGCTGCGCATGAGCAGGCGACGCGGAGTAGTGCCCAGAGGAGTCGGGCCGGGGGGCTTTATAGAGGTGGCGTCGCGCAAAAAGAATTCTCACCGGAATTGTCCGCCGGCGCTTCGCGCCGGCCAAGCATGACGACTAGGGCGTGGACGCTGACATAGCCCACAGTGGCAGCGTGACTAGGGTACTAGTCAGCCCACCAACGTGACATTGACAAGGCATCAAACAGCCCGTTTGACCGCTTCGTCGTGAGTGCACAAAACACGGATCTATTGGCGCACTACAACTGCGCCTATGGCGCGAGCACTGTTATGGAGCACTGTGCACGGACTGGCAGACATGCGCCTGACAAGGGATGGGCCGCGCGCGGCGCGGCGACCCTCTTGCTCGCGCTCGATTGAAGACCCCAATCATCCACTGTCTCCTGAGGTGCTCTCGTTGGCCTGTCCGAGGGTTTCCTCTCGCACCCTACCTGGTTTCCTTTCCGTGTTTCCTGCTCGTTTCCCTACAACACCCTCTAGTTTCCTCGGGAAACCCCGGGGAAACTCCGTGGAATTCGTCATTTGGGGGGGGCTCTGAGCCGTGTCTGAGGCTGTTTTGGGGCCAAAATCGGCAAAATACCGGGTATTTTGCGGGTATACCTGGAAAACCCCGGTATACCTGGAAAATACCTGGGTATCGTGCCGATTTCCTCAATTTTGCCCCAGATTTTGCCCCAGACCAGCTCTCAGACTCAGGGAAACTCGCGAGTTTCCCGAGGGAAACTCGAGAGAAACAGAATGGAGCACCAAACACCCTCTGGTTTCCCTGGAAACTTCCGGAAACGCAAAGTGCTGGGGACCCTCTGGTTTCCCTCTGGGTTGCCGGAAACCCTCGGACAGGCCAATGCTCTCGATCCTGCTGTTAACCCGTGCGCGCTGCTGGCGGGTCTGCTTTGGACGGCGCCGCTGCTACTGGCGCCGAGTTAGGTCAACAACCGGTCAGCTTAAGCCGCCCGTTATTCATGCTGATGCCACGTATTTTTTCCGCACTGTCCTCCCGCCTCTGCCGAGTAGTTGTTGTGTTGTTGGTTCGGTGTAGATTGCTGGCAAGTTAGCCCCAATCGTGTTCAATCAAGTACGAACACTAACGCGACGTATGGTGCGGGTGTCGAAGCCCCCGCACCAAACAGAAAATTAGATACTCAACTAAGTCCAACAACACTCTTCGTAGTCCGCTGCTGCAAGAGACCTTTCACGGCTACACGCTTTATGGCGTTCACGCCTGCGACTTACAAGTCCGCTTCCATGCTTGCTCGAGGTTTGGCTCGCCACGGGGTTTTCGCAAACTGACTGGCAGCGAGCGAGGCGGCGAGGGTTGGCTGCAGACACTGCAACGCGCTATGCGTCAGTAGCTGCGCGACGGCGACTTGTGCGAGTTTGGCAGACTAGCCCAAGTTCGAAGCGTGCCAGCGGTGCGGGATTTTTTTTCGAGCCCAAGGGGGGAATTTATCCCAAGATCGACGGTGGGGGGATCGACGGTGGGGGGGAATTTATCGACGGTGGGGGGGGCAGCGTATTCAGGTGCGACGACACAGGGTGTCCAGCAGCATCGCCGCCCAGGTCGGGCTGACCGAATGAGGAAAGGAATCCGGTCGGAGGCAACAGCCATCTGCGTTGCGCTGGTGAAGCGGACACAATTTGTGCTGAGGGCTTATGCCACATTTACGCAAGCTGTAGTGAAAGGAGTCGGGCGAGCGGTCAGGCCGGGTGATGCTCGAGCTGAAGAGGTCGAGCCGGGACCAGGTCCTTGGAATTGCCCGCCGGATCGCAGCCTCCACGCCATGGTACGCACTATCTCCGACCATCAGACTCAGGTCTCCGCGGGCGTGCTTCGCGGTGCATGTTCCCACGACAACCGGGCCGCCGAACGCCACGGCCTCTCTTGAGGCGTTGAGCCAGAGACTGTGCAGCAGCTGTGCAGACTTCTGGTATCGTCCAATGTCCCAGTGGCAAGAGGCGAAGTAGATGGCGTGTACGTCGGCGGCCAGCACACGGAACTCAGTGCGGCGCAACGTCCGCAGTGTGGCGAAGATGTGCTGCATTCCCAGAGCTTGCACGTACACGAGACGCAACGAGTCGCGAGTCGACTCGTAGACCCTGGGCGAAAGCGACTGATTGGGGTCAAGCAGCTCCTGCCACGCCGGCTCCAGACCGTCTGCTAAGGTTACACGGAGGTCCTCGGGGGTCAGCTCTTTGCTGGCCATCGGACTGAGATTGAAACCACAAACTTTCCCATCCCACGAGGAATTGCCACTGGCGCGGTCGAACGTGTACGGTGGCATCTTGGCCGGATCGAGCTGCCGCCGCCACCAATTGTCGAGGTCACAGAAGATGCCGCGCACAAGGGAATCGCCGATCAAGAGCACGGTGCGAAGCTTGGAAGCCTTCGTCCACTTGGCAGCAGCATGCATGTGGTGCTGCCCAAGACAGCGCGGCTGCGCTTGTTCCAGCGAGTCTCGTGTCCAGAAGGCGACTGCGCCCGCTGCAAAGGTGTGCCAACGGTAGCTGTCGGCCTGCCACTCGAGCGACGCTGCAGTTGGCTTGAGCTCGCGTCGCCATAGGCCAGGCTGCACGTGCGCGGTGTGTGCCCACGGATGCTCTTGGCATTTGGACCACACGAGCGTGTCGTTACGGCACCAGCGGCCGGGGACGCTCATAACAAACGGGCTGCCCATCAGCTGAGAGGACTCCATGAATGCGCCAGCGAGAGCGCCTATGTCGACGAGTGATTGGCCGGCGCCTGTGGTGCTCAAGCGAGCTTGGGCGCACGAGATCCAGAGCCGATACTCTCCGGCAGGCGGGCACTGCTGCGTCGGAAGCAGGATGGGTTGATGCCACCTTCTTGTGCTGGCAGCACGGAGGCCTGCGAGGATCACCGGCCCTTCGAGCCGCGCGTAGCACGGGCTGTGTATGTGGCTGCGTTGCCCGTCATTGTAGTAGTCGACAGCCAAGCCGCATGCATCGATGGAAAGCTTGACGCTCGAGTTGCCATCAGCGCTGACAAGAGGCTGGGAATGTTCACGCAGCTCCGCTCCTTGCCCCTGCGCGTGAAGAGCTCGGTTGTCCATCAGTAAAACGTCGAAATCGCGGCGGCTGTCGTTGTAATCCACGTACTTGTGATGTGTGCGTGTTGGAGAGTGTGAACTCAAACCTACTTCCTGACCGTAGCCTGACCGTCCTTGTGTAACCGTCTCATGTTTGGTTTGTCCTGCCGCGCACATTGTCATCGACTTGTATCCGACTTAGTGGCTGTGGTGATGTAGCGATGGTGTGGGTCTCTAGTGACCTATACAGCTCCTCCGTGTTCCGTCTCCTGACATGGTACCGACCGGTGAGTGCACGGAGTGAGCAGTGCGGCACTGAGGCCGACATGAGAGCTGGTGCGGCACACAAGCGAGATGTGTTGCCGCACAGCATTTCCGGCTTACGCTCGATACGTTGGCTGGCACCATGGGCACCTGCGCGAGCCGTGGTGATTGGCTGGGCACAGAGGCTCGGCGCACGGTGGCACAGCGGCCGCCAACTGCTCGGCACGGAGGCTGAGCAGAATGAGTACAACCGCAACATCAACTTGGGTGCTTGCGGATCTTCTGCGACAGAGCGCATCTCCGCCAGCACTGCGGCTGTGTGGACACGAGTATCCCCTCTTGCTTCTCCTTACCGGTCCGTTCTCCTCGCCTACGGACCACCATCGCAGCTGCTGCCTCCGCTACCAGCTCTCGGGCTGCTGCAACGGCAGTTACCGCAAAGATCTCGCACCGAATGTGGACCCTGCCTTTCGCCGCCGCTACTTCCGACGTCGCCGCTCGACACGACCGGAGCTGTACGCGATGAACACGCGACGATCGACACGCCCTCTCTGCCTTGTGTGGCGATTACCACGTCGTGGGGGAGTGTTGGGCATCTGTTCGACGTGGCAATGCCACTCTACCTCATTGCTGTCTCTTCCTCGTCTCGCCTCCTCGCGCTAGCCCGTCCCGCTATCCAACGCCTCTGGCAAGAAGTCCAATGTGCCTCTACGAGCGCCTCTGCCGTCTGGACGTCTGAGACTGAGCCTGCCATCTCCGACGTCGGCGGCCCGTGGCGCAACATCAACGTTCGGGGCATTGAAGATCGTCCTCACGTCCCTGATGCGCTCATCCGCGTCAACGCGGCGAGGCCTCCCAACGGCCCAATCGCCGCGCCGCAAGGGGGCGCCCCCGCTGCCGCTCCCGCGCCCGCCGCGCCTGCCGCGCCCGCTCAAGCCGCCGCCCCGCGACGCTCAGCCCGGATTGCAGCTCGCGGAGCGCCATGACCGAGCTCCACAACGAGCTCCTGTTCATTATCTCCCCTTTCTCTCTCTCCGCCCACTCGGCCGCGCTTTGACCCCTTCACTGGATCATCTTAGCGCGCAAGTCTTGCCAACAAGCAAGACCATCCTTCGCGAAGACGCAAGGTTGGACGCTTAGCCAGCCCCGCGAGACGCCGGCGGGTAACCGGCATACCTACGCTCAGACACATTCACACTCTGCTGTTGTTGTCTGCCGCATCCTCATTCATGAAGACTGCGGAGACAATGGGGGAGTGTTGGAGAGTGTGAACTCAAACCTACTTCCTGACCGTAGCCTGACCGTCCTTGTGTAACCGTCTCATGTTTGGTTTGTCCTGCCGCGCACATTGTCATCGACTTGTATCCGACTTAGTGGCTGTGGTGATGTAGCGATGGTGTGGGTCTCTAGTGACCTATACAGCTCCTCCGTGTTCCGTCTCCTGACAGTGCGCAAGCGCGCTACTTACCCTTTTAGTTAGTTAGTCTCGGGCAACGGCCAACAGACCAACAACAACACCCCGAAGCATTTGCCCTACTACGAGGCTTGGTCATCTCCAGCCTTATCGACCATCGCAACGAGCGGGCCGCCGCCAGAAGGCTGGGCTCCCACAACACGGTGCCGCCTCAAGAGGCAGCTCAAAAGCTGTACACCAAGATTCGCCGCGCCTGGAGAGTGCGTGGGGGGCCAGTCGGGGGAATAGATGATGCAGACCGGACATCGATCATGGCCCGCTCGGATTGGTGTGTTCAGTGTTGCACGTCACGTGGAGGTAAATGGCAATGGAGTTCTTCACACTCTGCGTGGCACCGGTAATGTCACTCACGCGCTTGCTCTGCGTCGCGATTGCGGCGGCCGTCGCGAACTCTCTCGGTCCAATGCCACGACCGCCGATACCGGCGCAGCGCCTTCGTTCGCCGCCGTCGCCTCAGCTGGCGGCTTCGCCCGCTGTGGTCGGTGCGAAGCTCCTCACGGCATCGGCAATCGGCGTCGGGATCGTCACGTCGTTCATGGCGCCAGCGACGGCGTTAGCGAGCAAGCTCTTCGACGAGCGGTACGTCCGCCTTGCGTTTGTTTTCATAACATCGAGAGAGAGATTTTTAGAAGCTAACAAGAAATGTGTGACACAGAGTGATTGCTGGAGACGCTGCAGAACAAGCACCGGCACGTCAAGGCCACGAGAAGGCGACGGCCGCGCTGCAGCGGCTGCAGGGGGCCGTCGACGCCGAGGCGCGGCGGACCACCCGGATGTCTGTGGGCCCGAGAGCGATATGCATATAAGGCCAACCTGAACGCGGCGCTCGCCGACGTCTTGAGAAGAGATCCACGAGAGAACTTTATCGCGAGCTTCGTGTCGTCCATCGTCAAGGCCGTCACGATCGTGCCCCTCGTGACCGTCGCCACGGCGGTCAGCACAGCGTTCGAAGTGTTCCTCGACGGAGCGTGGCGGATCACGCTACCTGTCGCGGCGGCGCACGTGGTGCTCCTTCGCTCTTACCGGCCGCTGTGGTCTCGGTCGATGATGTGGATTGGCTTCGGCGCGTGCGCGGCAATCCTCCTTGTAAAGGGGATCGAGCTAGTCTCCGAGTACACGAGCGACGACGGAGACTGAGCACGAAGCGTGTTCGTCCAACGGAGCGCCGTGTTGCTACCAGCGCCCTCTCCCGCGAGTTCCCGCCACACCTTGCAACCGCCGGTCGGGCCTGCGTGAGCACCGCCGCTGCAGCGCCTGCAGCCGTGCCGCCAGGTCGGCGCGGGCGTCTTCTCGCATCTTCTGCAAGAGCGCGCGCGTGGGCGCGGCCGCGCCGTGGATGCGCTCAAAGATCTGGTCGTAATCCCGGTCTGCCGCTCGCACGCTCTCAAGGTGGATGTCTGTCCCGAGGGCGCATTGAGACATCATACACGATCGACCTCATTGTGGCAGCCTGCACGGCAGCGCTGGCAGGCGCGATGAGCGTCGTGCCACCTGACCCGAGACGGGTCGCAGGCGTCGTACCGAGCGGGTCGAGACCGTGTCCTGATGTGATCTGCACGGGTGAGTCACGTCGGCGTCAAAGGAGCGACGTGTGTGACCTGTCAGAGCTTGATCTCCGATCTCAGCGACGTCGAGTCGCCTTCGGTGGCGACAGCTAGGATGCTTTACGTCACTTTTTTTGGTAGTGCCGAGCTGGCCGTGACAGCGTTTTTGGTAGTTTTTGTTGCTTTTTCCACGTAGACTTTTTGCAACTAGTCAAATTTTGCTCAACGTAGTCATTTTGAATTTGCCCGCGCAATCAGAGCTGGCCCTCACCAGATGGCCTTATAGCCTCTACGGTATACGTGGCTAGCCCTTAGCCGTACCCAGTAGGAACATCTGACCACATGCTCATGCCTTGATTCGCTCATTTTTCGGATCGTACAAAGGCCGGAGGCTCGCGCGCGCGGGGTACCGCGTGCCGGCCACGTCCACCTCCCAGCTGCCGCTGTTGACCCACGCGGAGTTGATCGGCTCGCCCGCGTCGGCGCCCCCACCCTGCACCATCGAGAGGCCGACCGCTCCGCCGAGCGTGTGGCCGTACGATGCGGCGCGGACGTCGCCGACCACGACGCCGTCGCGGTAGACCACCTCGCCGTGGTACAGGAGCGGCTCTGGGTCGGTGAGCAACACCTACGGTGGAGGGGGGGGGGGGGGGTGTTGCACTTCTCCACACGGCGGGGCGAGGGGCCGGCGCCGGGTCCAAAGACAAGAGCCGGCGCGGCATCCAGAGTGCAAGGCCGAGTGCGCATGGGATAGCAACGCCTGCACCAGCCTGCGGGTGAGCACGCCCGGGCCGCGCTGCGCCCGCGCCGCCTCGATGCCGACGAAGCCGCCCGGCTTGTCGAAGGCGGCCGTGAAGCCAAGCCCCGCCTAAGGTAAGGTGAGGTACACTTCTCCACACACACACGAGGTGGTGGGGCAAGGGCCGGGCTAGCCCCCTCGCGACTCCACGTCTAGGCGACAGGAGCCGCACGGCATTAAAAGTGCAAGGCCCAGTGCGCGTGGGTGAGCGGTGTGGGAGCCTCGTGCAGCGTGTCGAGGTTGTCGAGGTCATGGCCGTAGTCGCGGTACCTGCAGAGGACCCGATGGAGGTTCGGGCGCATCAGGGCTCCGAGACGAAAGCAGGGAGACACGAAAGCAGTCGCGATAGAAGCAGGCGGGAAGGCGCACTACCAACCAATTCGAGGTAATGGCCTCGGTGGGGGGGGGGGGGTCTACCCAAGAAAGGTGCGCGCGGCACCCCTGGGTTCGGGTACCGTGGGGTAGGGGAGGGTGGGTTCGGGTACCGTGGGGTAGGGGAGGGTGGGTTCGGGTACCGTGGGGTAGGGGAGAGTGGGTTCGGGTACCGTGGGGTAGGGGAGGGTGGGCTTGGGTACCGTGGGGTAGGGGAGGGTGGGTTCGGGTACCGTGGGGTAGTGGTGCGCGGCGCACCCCTTCTCGAGGCGGAGCGAGCCGAGAGCCTTGAGGCCGGCATGCACTAGCCCGAGCGGCTCGCCTGTTCACAGCTGGAGGTGTGAAGAGACGCTGTTCACAGCGAGGCATGCACGAGCCCGAGCGGCTCGCCGGCTGCGACGATGGCCTCGTACACGTGTGCCGCCGACTCGGCAGGCACAAAGAGCTCGTACCCCAGCTCGCCGACCTACGTGCTGAGTACACCAACCTCAAGGCGGGAAACGAGGGGGGGCGAATACAGTCAGTACGGCCGAATACGGCGAATACAGTTAATACGGCCGAATTGAATACATGTCCTCTCGAGCGCTGGTTGAGAGACATGAGTCCGTCTTCCGCGTCTAGGCTCGCCGACGTAGGTGATGCGTGTGGCGAGCACGAGCGCACAGCCGATGTCGACGCGCCGCGCTGCGCGGAAGGGGAACGCCGCGTCCGACACGTCCGCAGACGTGAGGGCGGCGAGCAGCTCGCGCGAGCGTGGCCCCTGCAAGTTGATCTGCGCGAGCCCGCCCGTGACGTCGCTGACGGTCGCGGCGGGTGCGACGCCGCGGGCGGCGGCGTGGTCCTCGATGCCCCGGCGCAGCAGCGTCTCGACGTGCCTGTGGGCGGTGTCGGTGGCGACCACGAGGAAGCCCTCCCCGTCGCCGCCGCCGCCGCCATAGGCGCCCGGGCGCGGCGGCAGCTTGGTGACGGTGAGGTCCGCCTCGAGTGTGCCGCGCGGCGAGAGCATCTGCGTATACGTGATGGCTCCTGCCGGGCCTACGTGCTGAATACGCCAACCTCGGGGCGGGAGTACGGTCTCGTGCAAGGCATTCAGAGCACCGTGCGAATACGAGGGGTACGAATGCAGTGAATACAGCTGAATACGCTCGAAGACAATTGAGTGCGTGTCCTCTCGAGCGCTGGTTGGAGTACAAGAACACGTATTCAGCTTCTAGGCCGCCGGGCCGTCCACGCGCGCCGTCGCGAGCCAGTCGAGGAGCGGGCCAGCGGCGCGGCCCTGCACGTGGAACTTGGACATGAACGACATGTCGAAGAGCGCCACCCCCTCGCGGCACGCCGTGTGCTCCGCCGCCCACAAGCCAAACCACTCTGGGTGGCGGCCCCAGCGCAGCTCGCCCAAGTCTGGCGTGCGGCCAGCGCCGGCGAACCAGTCGGCTCCCTCCCAGCCGGAGACGTCGCGGAAGTAGGCGCCTGAGGAAGAAGCAGCTCCTCCTTACCTCCGAATCCAGTCTTCATTCGGCTGCGACTCGGCGCAGAAGAAGGCGCCGCGTGCGGCGAGCTGCGCGTGTAGCGGCGAGCGGCGGATGCGTCGCGCCGTCGCCGTCGGCCGGTGAGGGTAGTGGCACTTGTAGACCTTGCCGAGCGACTCGACGACGCGAGCGCCGCGGTACGCGGGCGTCGCCTGGTGGGGCTGGAAGCGGGCGGGCAGCATCGCCGTCATGTCGACGTCTGCGTGGCCGTGCACAATGTTGTGGGCGAGGACGCGGCCGACGCCGCCGCCGGTGAGGATGCCGATCGAGTTCATGCCTGCGGCGACGTAGTAGTTTCGCAGCTCTGGCGCCTCCCCCACGACCGGGCCGAGGTCGGGCGTGAAGGACTCGGGGCCGCAAAAGAGCTTCTTGGCGCCAGCCTCGAGCGAGCTCGGCACGCGCGCCATTGCCCGCTCGAGGAAGGGCGCGATCCGACCCCAGTCGGGCTCGATCTCGCCAAAGCTGAAGTCGGCCGGCACGCGCGGCACGCACCACGCGGCGGCGTCTGACTCGAACAGCCCCACCATCAGCCCGCCGCCCTCCGGCCGGATGTACGTGCAGGACGACGGGTCCTCCACCACCTACGCGAAGGCTCCAGGAAAGGTCCAGGAAAGGTCCAGGAATGCACGTGCAGGAGGCCGGGTCCTCCACCACCTAGAAGGCTCCAGGAAAGGTCCAGGAAAGGTCTAGGAGAGGTCTCGCTCGACGGGTTCCACCACCGGCCAGCGCGGGTCGACCTGCGCCATCGGCTCGGTGAGGAGGTAGTAGTGCTCCGCCGCCTGGTTGGGCACGCATACGCCCGACAGCTCCGCCAGCTGGCGCGCCCACATGCCGCACGCGTTCACCACGTACTCGCACGCCACGTCACCGCGGTCTGTGCGCACGCCGGTGACGCGGCCGTTTGTCGCAGTCACGCCGGTGAGCGAGACGCCCTCGACGATCGTGGCGCCGCCGTTGCGCGCGCCGCGCGCCAGCGCCGCCGTCGCGTCGACGGGGTTGACTCGCCCGTCGTCCTCGACGAAGAAGCCGGCGAGCACGTCGTCCACGTTGCAGAGCGGAAACCTGTCTGCGACCTCGGAGGGCGAGAGCTCGTGCACATCGACGCCGCACTTGCGGTTGAAGGCGGCGACGCGGCGGTACTCCTCGAGATATCCCTCGTCGGTCGCCAGCTCGATGAAGCCAACCGGCATGAAGCCGGTGCTCATGCCCGTCTCCTCCTCGAGCAGCCGCGAATAGAGCTGCTTCGAATGCTTCCGCATCTCGGTGGAGGTCTCCGAGAGGGAGCCGAACGTGACCATCAGCCCGGCAGCGTGCCAGGTCGTGCCGGACGTCAGCTGGTCTTTCTCGAGCAGCAGCACGTCGTTGCCCCACCCGAGCTTTGCGAGGTGGTAGGCGACTGATGTGCCGATGATGCCGCCGCCAGCAACGACAACGCGTGCCTGCGTAGGTAGCGGGGCTGCCCCGGAGCTGATGGAGCGGAGCTGCTGGCGGCCTCGAGCACAACGCGCAAGCCTCATCGATGATAGGCGACCGGCAAGACCGCGCGGTAAAAATTTATTTTCTTTTCATCCGTTCTCTGGCCCTCAGAACGTCAGAAGCGAGAGGCAGAATGCGGCAGCGCCGCAGCCGAGATAGCCGACGCGGAAGCCAGCAATACAGGGAGCTGGGAGGAGAGAGAGAGACATAGTTTTACATATGCATATCCCCGGACCAGCCAGGAAATTCATGAGCGATATCATGTTACAACATGCACATGCACATGACATGTACATGTACATGTGCATGCACCCCTCACAGTCACTTCTAGGATTGCAAGCGGTCCCTCGCAATCGGTGCGATCACTGTTTGGATATTGAGGAGCACTTGGAGCACGGAGACCCTCCCGGCTTGGAGCGATTGGGAGCGCCCTCTGTGGAACTGTGCGCTTGCTAGCAATCCCTTCCATCATACGAGCGTCATCTTGTAGTGAACAGGCCGAGTTTGCGGTTTGAGCGCCCAGCGCAGACCGACCGACCGCAGGGGGGGTCCGGTCGACGGCCGCGGAAGACCGCAGACCGGAGGGGACCACCGTCGGCCGCGGACGGCGTCGGCGTGGCGGCCGCGGGCGCTCGCGAGACGCGCCGCTCTGCGCTGGTTCGGTTCGTTCGACTCGTTGTGCCGCCGCACGCCCGGCGGCCGCGGGTCCCAGAAGTGGTTGCGCGGGCCTCTTCCTTTCGGCCGCGGGACGGCGTCGGGCACGTCGTCGGTCGCAACAGCGGCGCGGCGAGCCGCGGCACGTCGCGTTGCTGGCGCTGGTGGTTTGAGGTCGGCATCGTCCAGAGCTCGGTCGACGAGTCTAGAGCTTCAGCTGGTCGGGTGCCATGTTTGTGCGGAAAGTGGCAAATATATCTCTTTGATAGTTTAACGCCGGGGGTAATAGAGGCTCTCTCTTGAATAATACGGACAGGTTACTGGTTAGGGATTCTCGCGATGAAGTCCGCGACCTGCGGCTCTTGAAAGAAAGCCGTAGCACGGACAAAGATTATCATCGGCGAGCCGAGCGCGACCCTAAAGTCCCAAACTCTTGTGCTTACGTCACTCATGTTCATGTGGATACCGCCCAGCCATGCAGTGTGTCATTTCAATCCAGCTTTCATTCGCACCAGCCTGCCGAGCACGCTCGGCGCCGGCCACTTCACCTCCGACGAGGTTGGCTAGTGCCTTCGACTCGCGTGCCTTGGCAGAACGGCGCATAGCCTGAACCACCTCTTCGATGGCTCCCAGCGCAACAGCGCGTTGCCTAAGCACTTCGGAGCTGGTGCAGATATTGTTCACGGCGCTGCACGCCATGTACTGCACCATCTCACTCTCAGGATGGGAGCGCATGGCGAGGATGGCTGCTTCCAAAGCACCAGCGTCTGCGGCGGCCTGGCCACACCGCGCATTATCCTGGCCACAGCTATCGGAGCCGACGGCGATGGTCGCGATAGCTGAGCACGCCTCCTCAGCGACCCGCTGGTTTCGAACGTGGGCGCGGATGGCCGCAGCGAGATGCCGGGATGCGCCGCAGTCGCTCGCACGCTGCTTGCACTCTATGTTTTGTGCCGTGGTCCCGCTGGTGAGCGTCACCAGTGCCAGCGCTCCGGCTGCCTGGAGCTCGGCACTCTGGGGATGCGCCGCAAGGGCCGTTACCACGGCATCGAGACTTCCGACAGCAGCAGCCCGCACCTTGCACAAGAGACCCGCATCATCCTGCCCCCAACACAGATTGCCCAGCGCCATGCAGCCGTGGATCTGCGTCATCTCGTGCTCCGGGTAGGCCCGCATGGCCGCTGCTGTTGCCTCAAGCCCACCACACTCCACAGCCCGCAGCTGGCGGGCGCGTGCGTCGTTGTTTTCACCGGCACCAAGCACAATCATTGCCAACACGACGCTCGCGGCGGCACATTGGGCATCCTCGAGACCGACAGTGCGCAAGATCAGCACCGTCGCCTCGAGCACCCCAGCCTCGGCTGCCAGCTGCCGACGCGCCATTGCTTCGGGCGTGTACCCACCGCACAGCGCGCAGATGACGTCAGCGTTCAGAGCCTGCAAGTCTGCAGCCCAGGGGTGCGCCTGCATCACTAGCACACTCGCCTTGAACAGGTCCTCATCGGTGAGGAGCTGCATCGCACTGCCTCCGTCGTCGCAGAGCTTCGACACGCGGTAGAGGGCGACGAGTGGGAGGATGCTGTGCACGCCATGCCACTCTCGTAAAACCGCGACCGCCTCAGCAGCGTCCGCCCGTGTGATAGACTGTCTTGTCGGAGCTGCGGCGCCGCACCTGGTCCTGTGGCCAAGCCGCTTCCACGCCTTCTTCTGGCACTTATTGCCACAGTACCAGCTCACGTTGCAGCCCTGGCACCGGCGCAGCTTGATACCACTGTGAACGGATGCGCCACACGTGGCGCAGTGAAACTCCAGCTGAAAGTCGTCTACACGGGCTCGGCATATGCTCTCAGGCTTTGGCGGCAGGGCCGGTTGCGGTGCGACTGGCGGAGAGGTGGGCGAGTCTTCGAGAGGTGAGAGCTCAAGTTGTGCTGCCATGGCCCGCGCGTAGTCCAGCTGCGCTGGCTCAGGCCCTTCGCTCCTGCCCATGCCAGTCGAGCTGGCGACATATCCTGGCGAAGACGCGTCCTGCAAGAGCTTGCGTGCACGCTCAAGGCTCTTCTCGACACCAAGGCCAGCGCCGTAGCAGTAGGCCAGGTTGCACATCGCACGCTTGCTCCCCTGAGCAACAGCCTGCCGCAAATACCTGACCGCCTCGACAGCGTCGACAGCGGTGCCGCGCCCATGCAGCAAGTTGAAGCCCAAGTTACTGCACGCCTTGGTCACGCCCTGCGCAGCGGCCAAACGGTAGAAGCGTACCGCCTCTGTCAAATTCTTGGGGACGCCTTGCCCCCTCTCAAAAGAAATTGCCAGGTTGGACTGGGCGTGACCGTCGCCCAGGTCCGCTGCCACTCTGTACCACCGCGCCGCCTCAGAATCGCTTTGGGCAACGCCACTTCCAAGATGATAGCACACGCCCAAATTGTACGCGGCCTCAGCGTCGTCGCTCTCAGCCGCCCTTCGATACCAACGCACAGCCTCTTGCGGGTTGGTAGCTCCATTGATCCCTCGATCGTGCATCATGCCGAGCTGACGGCAGCTGGCCGGATAGCCTTTGAACGCTGCTCTTTGAAACCACGCGAGTGAGCTGACGGGGTCTGCGACACATCCCTTGGCCTGCTCATAGCAGAGCCCAAGGTTGTGTTGCGCCGCGACGTGTCCGAGCTCAGCAGCTCGCCTGAGCCACGAGAACGCTTCGATCGCGCCCGTTTCGCGCCCGTCTTCAGCTGCTCCCAACGAAAGCTTAGCGAGTCCGAACTGCGCCTCGGCATCACCCGCCTCTGCCGCTGCGAGGATGGCAGCAGCAACTGCTCGGCCGGGATCTTGACCAGTGGCTCGCAGCCGCTCTGCTTCATGCATGTGGGCCTCTGCTTGGAGCGTTGCAACAGTTGGCAGCCAGCCCGAACCATCCGCTGCCGTCTGAGCCCGCATGTTGACCGGCTTGAGCAGCACGCATTCAGGCTCTACACCGGTGAGTGGGTTGCCATCCAGCTGCACAGCAAAGCGTCCACGCGCACGATCCCGGCAGATGACCGCGCCGGCGCGATCGTTGAGCTCAGGCCTACCCACCAGACCCACCACCAGCACACGGTCGTCGGGCCGCCAAACACTGGCCTCCCCCATGCGGTGGCTGGCGAGTAAGACCTCAGACTCGGGCGGGCGTTTTCGGCGCCTGCTGGTGCGGGTGCGGCGACCGGCGCGGGTGCCGCGCCCGCCGCTCGCCAGGCGATTGCCAACTTCGCCGCCGCGCTCTAGACGAGCACCGGCCGGGGTGCTGGCGTGGAAGACGGCGGCCATCCGCGCGTATCTAGTGTGTGCGTTAAGTGTTGGTGTCTGCAGCCTCCTGGAGCCTAGCAGTAAGGCGGCCGGCGGTGGGGATGAGAGGGGGGGGGGGGGTATGGTCCCGTCGGCGGGAGGCTGGGTCTGTCAGCAGGCGGGGGGGTAATTCAGCGTACGAGATTTTCTTTTCTTTTTAAATCTGCGCACTTTAAATCACATACGCCCCGTCGACCCCCCGCGCCTGAGCAGGGCCCTGCCCAACCCCGCAACGCTCGCGCACCCACGCAACGCCGCGAGGAACGGCGGGCGCGGCGGCGCCCTCCCGGTGCGTGCCGCGGCGACGCAACCGGCGAGGCCGCTGTAGCGGACCTTGAAGCCGCTCCGGTTGACCAGCCCGGGCGCGTAATGCGCGTACTTGCCCGAGTTTGTGATGAGCGTGCGCGCCGACTGGATGGGCGGGAAGGGTACCACGTCGCCGAGCATGCACCAGCAGGTGTCGTTGATGAACTCCACGCCAAACTCACTCAGCGTGAGTGCGTGTCCCGCGGCCTCCGCCTGCTCGAGCACGAACCGCGACAGGGTCGCGATGACGCGGACGTCGCGGTGTTTCGCGCCGCCGCCGCCGCCGACCATTGCTGCCAGCGACTCCACCTCGGAGAAGGAAAGGTGCGGGTTGCCAAGAGCGACGAGGTCGACGCCGCTGCAGTCGCCGCCGCCGCTGCCGCCGCCGCCGCCGCCGCCGCCGCCTCCGTCACCGCAATTACCACCGTCGTCGTGCCCGCCACTGGAAAGCGCCCCGCTGTCAAGGGTCCGCCTGTTCACAGCTCTCAGGCTCGATGATTCACAGCCTCGCGGGCCATTCTTCACCGCGGTCGAGAGGCCAACCACGCGGATGCAAACTGCTCCGGCGACAGCCGCAGCGTCTCGACGCCCTCCCCGCTGCCGGCCGCACCGAGGGCAGTCTGCAAGTCGGCCGCCTCCGGCGTCACTCCGACGATGTGGAAGAGGGCGGCGGCGCCGGAGGTGCCGAAGGCCGCCGCGAAGGCCTTGAGCTCGTCGCGGGTCGGGCGGAGGTGGGCGATGCCGGTGAGGGCCGGCACACGGGTCTGCGCGAGGTTGCCGCAGGCGTAGCCGAGGGTCGGCCAAAACGCGTCGGCGGAGGCGGCCGGGAGACCGGCGGCGACGAGGGCGGACGCGTCGAGCACCTACGCGAAGGCTCCAGGAAAGGTTCCAGGAAAGGTCTAGGAAAGGTCTAGGAGAGGGCGGACGCGTCGAGCACCAGAGTCGCGTGGCGGTGCTCGTCGAGGTGGGCCCCTGCGGCGGGTGCGCGGCCAACCAGCGCGGCGCAGATGTCCAGGTAGTCAGCGTACTTGAGCGTGCGGGCGCCGAGCACGGAGTTGGCAAAGACGACGGCGTTGGACTCGCCCCACGCGACGTGCTCGCCGAGGCCAGGGGCCGAGGGGAGGAGGTACGGCGAGCACGTGAAGGAGAGCGAGGCGCCCAAGTCGAGGTATGCCTGGGTTCGGTCACCGTGGGGTAGGGGAGGGTGGGTTCGGGTACTGTGGGTAGGAGAGCGAGGCGCCCAGGTCGAGGTATGCCTGGCCGAGCGCCTCGGACGGCTCGCCGAGCGACGCGGGCACGCCCATCGCGCGCCACCGCCGCCGGTCGACAGAGTTGGAGTTGAGAGTGGTTGGCACCGCCACTCTCCCGCCGAGCGCCACGAGCTCGCGCGCGAAGCGAAGCCCCCCCGGCCCGATGTACGTGCAGCCGTCGATGTGCGCCTGCGAGATTCGGAGCAGCTTCTCCGCGTCGCAGACTTCGGCGGCGCGCGCCACCACGCGCATCGCCACCCGCGCCGCCCGCCCCCGCTCGCCCGCCAGCATCGCCCTCTCCTCGGCCTCCAGCTGCAGCGCCGACGCCGCGAGGCGCTCGTCCGCCGTCGAAAACGAGCGGGGTGCGGGCGGCAACGGCCCGGCGCCGCAGATGACGGTGGAGCCCGCCACCGCTGCGTGCGTGTGCGCCTCGAGGCGGTCGAAGCTGTCCCCGAGCGAGACGATCGGGATGGAGTGACCGAAGAGCTGTGAATGCAATCCCTCACGACTCAGACACGAGCGGCCGAGCGGCCAAGGAGCCGCGCACGGTGTCGCGGGGATGCGTGTCTCGGACGTGTCGTGGACGTGTCGCGGAACGGTCGACGCATCATACGCGCCGCGGCGGTCTTGAAGACTCGCCGAGTTGTGGGATCAGAAGACTCGCCGAGCGCGTGGGACCCGAGAGCGTGGACACACAGGTGCTGGGAGCAGAGGCGTGGAGCTGGCGGGGCGGGCGAGGAGTGTCTGCGGGCCGCACCTCCTCCGCCACGATGACTCCGAGGGAGAGGATGACGTCTGGCGTGCGCAGCAGGAGAGCGGCGGGCGCCACGCCGTTGAGCAGCAGCTCGAGCACCACCTGGCTGCCCGTGCACGACCCTCGCCCGTTGGGAATCGCGAGCACACGGCCGCGCACGCACTCGTCGTGCAGTGGGTGAGTGTGGTCGACGATCACGCCCGTCTGCGGGTCGCACCCGCCCCAGAAGGAGAGGCCGGTGTCAGCGTACAGCACGCTTCCCTCGGCTGCTCCACCGACGATCTCGCGGCCGACCAACGTCTGCTGTGCCATCCGCCTCGCGTTAGCTGCGGACAATGGCCAGTCTAGTGTTGCTCCTGACGTGCAACGCGCGAAGTACCCAGAGCGGCGGGAGGACCTCTTTCTTTTGAGCTAGCCTTCGCAAGCGGACACACGCGTTTTGGCCGGCTACCCCATCGGGTCGCATGGAGACACGGGAAGGCTGCCGTAAGCCGCCTCCTGGTGCAGGGGCCCGGCGCGGTGGGCGGGGGCAACGGCCCGGTAGCTGGCAGCCGCGCCTCTCCGCCCCGCCCGTCGCCGCTGCACCCCTTGCCGCGGCCCTCGTCGCTGCAGCGACGACAGCCGCGGCACGAGGTCAGAACGCGGCCTCGGAGAGCTCGAGCGAAGGCGCCGACGGTGGCAGCCGTGGTAGTGGCTGATGGTAGAAGGCTCCTGAGCCGTCGGGCACCACGCTCGACGTCGCCGAGGAGCCGCACCCGGCGCGAGCGCCTGCGCGTCGGCGGGTGCCACCGAAGGCGGGTGGGCAGCGCCGGGCGGGGCGGCGGAGCTTCTCGAGGCGCGCACGTGCCCCGCGGGCCGTGCGCCGAGGCAGACGGCCGAAGAACCGGTGGCGGATCGCGCCCTCCTTCGCCGTGCCGCGTGTGCGCCGACTCCGCTCGAGAGGCCGTCGAGAGCGGCGCGGCGCACCCGAGCCGGGCGACGAGCGTGCGCGGAACCGACCGGACCCGTCAATGTCCACTATGCGGGCATGGCCAGGCCGGCGCGGTTTGGTCTGGCGACCAACAGGGCGCCAACGAGAGCCAAAATGGGTTAAAAAGAATTCACTTAACAGCCGGCCTGACGTTCGCCCCCCCCCCCCCCTCCGATGGGCGGAGGTTGGGCCGCGTGGCCGCGGTGCTGGCCGACTCGCTGGCGTGCTGTCGTGCTCTGCATGTTCCTCGCCCTCACCGCGACGGCGACGCTCACAGCCGAGCAAGAGGAGGAGCTCGTCACGCTGATTGACGCGTGAGCAAACGCTGCCCAACGCAGACACCGCCCACGCTCGCCTGGCCCGCCAAACGACTTTCCCGGCTGGCCTTGTTTCCGCAGGAGCGCGTCTGCGGTGGCCCATCTTCCGACGACCTCTCGGGCGCGCGACGAGATCCGGCTCCTGCATGGCAAGCTCACAGAGCTGCAGGCGGCGGCGGCGACCGTGACGCCCGAGGAGTGGGACATCATGCTCCGCGCTCTTCTCCGCGCAAACCACTACGGCAGTGCGCCGCCTCTGCGCAACACGCAACCGCCGCCGGGTGGACAGCGCCCCGTCGCCTGCGGCCATAGGCGAGGCTGCCGAGACACCTCCTAGACACTTCCTAGACACCTCCTAGACACTTCCTAGACAACTCCTCGCCTGCGGCCCATAGGCGTGGCTGCCCTGCGCGAGGCGCTAGCCGCCGAGGGACTGCAGGAGCAGCTCCCGCTCGCCGCCGCTCACGACGACGTATCCGTCGGCGAGTCTGCCTCCGGCCCCCGCGCCTGCCCTCCCTCTCCCTCACACCGCCGCGGCGGCGGCGGCGGCGGCAGTCTTGGCGGCGGCGGCGGCGGCGGGGACGGCGGGGACGGCGGGGACGGCGGCGGCGGCGGCGGCGGCGGCGGCGGCGGCGGCGACGGAATCGCCGCAGCGTCTGCGGGCGCCTTCGCAGCGGCGTTGGCGGCGGGGTCTGGCGTGGCTGCGCCGTCCGGGCGGCGGCCTCTGTTTGGCGGCGGCGACGGCGGCGGTCTCTACGTTGCGGGCAGCTGCGCCGACCAGGACCAGAGGTGCGCCGGCTGGGCGGCGGCGGGGGAGTGTGAGGCAAACCCGAGCTTCATGCTGTCCAGCTGCGCGGACGCGTGCACACACTGCAGGCAGGGCCATATCTCCCCATATCTCCCCGTGTCTCCCCATATCTCCCCATATCTCCCCCAAATCTCGTGCACACACTGCAGGCAAGGCCGACCCGACTCCCCATCTCTCCCCATCTCTCCCCCATCTCTCCCCCATCTCTCCCCCATCTCTCCCCCATCTCTCCCCCATCTCTCCCCTATCTCCCCCCCACGTCTCCCCCCTATCTCCCCCCTATCTCCCCCTATCTCCCCCCTATCTCCCCCCTATCTCCCCCCATATCTCCCCCATTGCAGGCAGGGCCGACCTGGCGAGATGCGCGCGCGCGAGGAGCGGCTCAAGCGGAGCGACGATCTCGGCGATCTCGACAATCTCGAGACAATCTCGCGCGAGGAGCGGCTCAAGCGGAGGTACGATCTCGGCGAGCCGAGATACAGCGGCGGCGAGGTCGACGCGGCGGCGGGCGCGGCGGCGGCGGCGGCGGCGGCGGGAGCAGGAGGGGGAGTCGAGGCGGGGGCAGGCGCTCTGCAGGCGCTGCATCGCTGGCTGCTCGACAGCAGCTGGCTCGACGGGCTCGACAGCTGTGAATAGCGCAGCTGTGAATAGGTGCTCGACAGCAGCTGGCTCGACGGGCTCGACAGCTGGCTCGACAGGCCGCCCCCCCTACACACGCTCCCCCACGCGCACCGGGCCTTGCACTTTTATTGCCGTGGGGCTCCTGTCGTCTAGACGTGGAGTCGCGAGGGCTGCCCTTGGCCCTTGCCCCACCACCTTGTGTGCAGAAGTTTACCTGGCCTTCCCTTGCCTTAGGCCGCCCCGTGGGAGAGGGGCTCACTGTCATGAATTATGGTTAATTAACGAATCAACGTTGATCCGTCGATTCACAGGCCGCCCCCGTGGGAGAGGTGTCGCTCGAGGTGTGAACGGCGTCTCTTCACGGCTGCAGCTGTGAACAGGCCACCTCCGTGGGAGCGGGACTGCGACTGCTGCTTCGAGCGCTGCCCCGCAGGCAACCACGCGCACTGGGCCTTGCACTTTGAATGCCGTGCGGCTCCTGTCGCCTAGACGTGGAGTCGCGAGGGCTGCCCTTGGCCCTTGCCCCACCACCTCGTGTGTGTGGAGAGGTTCATTTGGCCTTACCTTCCCTTAGGCCACCACTGCCTCCGGCAGTCCGACGGCTTGCTGCTCGCGTGCCGCGGCCGCGCGTCCTAGATGCGACACGCGTGTGTGGCAGCCATTGTGCGGGCGTGGTGCGTTGCACGATGCCGCGCTTTGACACACCGGTGGTGCAGTCCACAGCTCTTCGCTGTATCCACACCGCTGATAGCACGACCACGTAGGGGCGTCACTCGGCGAGGTTGTCGAGTCACTCGGCGAGGTTGTCGACGCCGCTTGGACCGCCTCCCCGCTCCCCTGCGCCGCCGCCGCCATCGGCGCCGGGCTCGCCATCGGGCTTTGGGCGCGTGCGCAGCTCCTGCCGCACCGTGTGAGACGGCGAAAGCGCGCTGCGGATTGATCATCGATCGCCGTCGCCTCGCACACAGTCGTCTGAAGCGTCGTCGTGCCGAGACGCGGAGTCTTGCGTATAACGGGTAGTATCCCCCATAACGGGCCTCCAGATTGTGCTCAAGGCGGGGTGCCAGCTCGGGCTGCTGCCTTCTGGGGAGAAGAAGCGAAAGGCGGCGTGACACGCCGCAGCTGCGAGCACCTCGCGCAGGACATCCACCAGCCTCCAGCCACCAGGGAGGGAGGCGGAGGGGTAGTTTGGCGTGACCTTTGGCCATCACAACGGTGTTGAGTGTGTGCCTCTGTGTGGTCGCAGGTCACACTCGTCGAGTTCGCTGAATGGCATCCTATAATGTAGAATGGCGTCTCGCGCGCGCTCACCCGGCCGCCTCGCAGCCCCAGCGGCCGGGGGGCGCTTGCCGGGGTGTCTCCAGAGGCTGGTCACACACAGGCGCCACTTTAACGCGGCGAGCCAGAGGAGTCACACAGGAGAGCCCCCAACACGCCACTTTTTCAGCAGCAGACGGGCCGCGGTGAGGGCCCATTCTATATCGAAGAACGGGGTCCGCCGCCGTCCCCCACGGCCTCCTCACGCCCCCAGCGGCAGCGTGCCGCTCGGCCAGACTGGTGGGGTTCGCGACAAGCGCCAGTTCAACACAGAGAAGCCCAACAGTCCGCAAATGAGAGTCCTCTCCCCCCCGCCCCGGCAAACCAGAGCAGACGCCGGGGGCCGCGTATGGCGAAAGCAAACGCACGACGGCCGCCGGCGGCCGTTGAGCCGCTGCCGCCGTTCGAGCCTTGGATGTCCGGAGATCTTCAGGGGCGCGTTGCCAGAAGGGGGCCTGCAAAGCGGTGCAACAAGGGGCAGTCAGCTGAGGTTGGGTGGGGCGACGTGGGTGTGGCTCGGGCGGGCGGGGCGGGGGAAAGAAGCACGCACTCGAGCTCGAAGTTGCGGGACGCGAGGCAGCTCCGTCCGGTTCCCCCTGGTCCAGCCGGGCTGGCCGCACACCACCGCCTTCTCGCGGTGCGCCTTTACCCACTCGCCCACGTCCGCGCTCGCCTTATTTAGGGCGATCTTGCGCGCGGCGGCGTCTGGCGCGCCGGCCAGCCGCGCCACCGCGTCGGGGTGCGAGGCCAAAAGGGGATGTGCAGCCGCGGCACCACTCGCGCACCCCCTCAGGGCGGGCACGCTTCTTCTTCATCTTCGGCTCGTTCTTCGAACGCATCGACCGGCGCCGCCGCTGTGAAGACGGCGTCGTCGCCGGCCACACACCAGCGGCGGCAGTTGGCGTCGGCGAGGCACTTGATCGTCAGAGTCGTGCCGCCGCACCTGCGGGCAAGGGGCAGGCTGCGGCTGGGCACGTAGGTCGGGGTTCCAGGAAGGAGGGCAAGGTGCCGCGGCACCACGGTCGAGGGTGGGGCGATCTCGGCGCCCGCGAATGCTGTGAGACATGGTCAGTTTGCCGAGCGTGTCGCCAGCCCTTTTGCACCCCAAGCTCTGAAACCCAACTTATGTCAACACCCCTGCAACGCAAAACTGCCTTTAGCAACTTGCAAGTCGGCAACCTTTGCAAAACCTCCGCCTTTTCCGTTTCCATTTTGTGCATGATTCAGACGTTGCTGCGCGACCACCGCTATGGCGAGATACAGCTGGCCGAGCCAGTGCGCAAGGTGTTCGAGTTGCTATCTTGCGGTCCCAAATCTCAGGCGACTGGTGGCGAGAATGGCGTGAGCCTGCGCATCTACGGCAACACCCAAGACGAGAGGAACAGAGATTTGGTGGAAACATTCTCTGCCTCGCTCCTCCAATTCTGGCTCAAAGAGGGAGAGAAAAAGAAGGTTGGAAAAGCTCAGGCATTCATGGCTGGCATTTCGATCGCCGAGGATTCCGATGGGAAATGCGTGTGCCTCCTCGCCGGATCAGGCCGCAAGACTAAAGACCTGCACTATGGCGCTCTCATGCAGGCCAAGAAGGACATCGAGAAGGACATCGACGTGAAGTGCATGGTCCAACGCATGGTCCCAGCCCAAGCTGGAGGATTGCGCATCGATGTGTTCGAGACGTGGGAGAAGGATGGCAAAAAATGCGAGAACTTTTGCGTCGAGATGAAGCTGGTCGCATGGTTCCAAAGCCTGAGCAAGGAACCAGATCCTGAGGTCGTTCGTGTCCTCTCGACGTTTGCCTGCCCGATCGGATTCGAGGACATGCCGTACACACCCTCTCCTGCCATCGACGGACCTCTCGGGGTGTTTTCACGATGCGCTGTGGCTTGCCCCGGGTGCCAGCTCTATGCCCCGACCGTCAAGAAGCGCGTCCCTTTCTTCTACGTGAAGCCCGATGAGCCATATGCGCACCAGGTCCTCGGCGACCGCGACCCTCAATGCACACCGTGCACGGAGTCGCTGTATTGCGAGCGTGTGCGCTGACCGCTGAGGCACGGTTCGGGCAGTGTGCGCTGTGCCTTCTCTTGTGCCCACCTTTGCGAAGGTGCTCTTTCGATGACTTTTTTTCTCTGTCCATAAATATTTTTCACACCACACACACACTTCACGTGCGCGCAGCGGTAAGTGTATGTGCTGCCTGGCGTGCGGGTGTGCTGCCTCTCTCAATATCTCGCTGCATCTCCACGCCCAACGATCTCTTTTCATTATCACATTCACACCGCGGTTCGAGCCGCGGGCACTGCACGCGTCGCGGCACTCGCATTGGCCCCTGCGGCGGCCACGCCCCGCTGCCACCTGTCATGCTCACGGCGTGAACGCGCGGATCCGCTCGATGGCGTCGGCGTCGTGCTTTGGCGTGGCGCCGGGCATGCTCGCGACGAAGGCGCCTGTGGGGCGCGTGGAGGACGCGTCGGGGAGAGGCGCGTGTCTAGGGCGCGGCGGGCTCGCGGCGGAAGGCGCCGATGGCGCACGCGCGGGCGAGCGCGTCGGTGGCGTCGAGCTGGTGCCGCACCCCGGGCGAGGCTGGCTTGCGCTGCTTGGCGGTGCCGACGCGTCGGTGGCCCACGGCGGGAGGGGCGTCGCGCAGAGGAGCCGCAGCAGCAGCCGCAGCCCGCCCGGTGGCACACGCCGCTGCGGTCGAAGGGCAACCGAGCAGCGCGTGCCAGCAGCCCGCCGCGCGCAGCTCGGCAAGCCTACGCCGCGCGGCTCGCGCACCCAGCGCCGCCTCGGCCGCGCCGACGAGCGCCCGCCACGGCAGCAGCGCCGTGTCGAACGGGTTGTCCTAAGAAGGCGGCATTGGGGCGGTGGAGGGCGGTGAGCGCTAGAGAGGCCTCCGAGACATGACCCCCCAGGGAGGAGGTGGTGTCTCGGAACGGTCTAGCCAGACCGCCTGCAGCGCGAAGCCGTAGCCCTGTCCTCGAGGAACACTCGTACACACAAACTCACCCCTCGAGCGCCCCGATCGCCTCCGTCACCGCGGCCACGAGCCGCGACGCCTCCCCCTCGCTGCGCGGCCCGTCCCTCCTCCACCTCGCCGCGTCGTGGTGCCTTGCCGCGTTCGCCCAGATGCGCAGCGAGTGCAGCTGGCTCCGCAGCTCGGTCGGCAAGCCGCACTCGCGGTGCCAAAAGTTGATGCGCTCCTCGAAGCCGTCGGGCGCCGCCGCGGAGCGCGAAGCGTACACGGCGTCGAGGCGCGGCATCAGCGTCTTGAAGGCGAGCAGCATGTTGTCCTGGATGCGCGCCTGCGCGTCGCCGGACGTGCGCATGCCGCGCACCTGCACCGAGAGCGGCGAAGGCTCGTAGCCGGTGGTGCGGGCGGCGGTGGCGGCCTCGTCTCCAAGTGCCGGTGCAGCCTCCTCCATCCCCGCCCCGCGCTGCGAGCCAGAGAGCAGCGCCTGCAAAGTCGCGAGAGCCTCGGGCAGCGTGGGCCTCTTGCGCAGGCTGTCGTGGCAGAGGCTCTTCCCGTCCGCCTTGGCGAGGTCCTTTACTGCGCGCGCCGCAGGGTCAGGCCACCCCGCCGCCGCGTCTGCGATCCTCGTCACGTCGATGTCGGTCCAGTCCTCCTCGAACTCGTCCTCGCACTGGTCGGTGAGCTGCACCTCGGACCGGTTGGTGAGGCAGACGAGGAGGGTGATGCCAACGGCGTAGCCGTCCGTCTTGCTCGAGTACTCGCCCCCCTTGATGATGGAGGGGCAGAGGTAGCCCGTGGTCATGTAAAGGGCGGCAGTCGAGCGGCAGCGGACAGACGCGTCCGGGCGCTGGTCCTTGGCGAAGCCCGTGTCGGCGAGGACGGCGGTCAGCTTCTCGTCGAGCAGGATGTTGTCTGGCTTGACGTCGCGGTGCACGATGCCCTTCGAGTGGAGGTAGACGAGCGCCTCGGTCGCCTCGCACGCAACCCGCACGCGCTGCCGCCACGTCAGCGGCTTCGGCGGCTCCGCCATGCCCAGCCGCCGGAGCTGCGCCGCGCAGTCGGGATCCGAGATACGCAGCCGCGCCTCGAGCGAGCCGCCGCGCATCAGCGGCGAGAGGAGGCAGACGCCGTCGGGCGAGAGGCAGTAGCCGAGCAGCGGCAGCAGGTGCGGGTGGCTCACCGCCTTCAGAAGCTTCACCTCGAGCTCCGCCCGCGACAAACCGCCCGACTGGCCCGACTTTGCCCGCTTGACGACGAGCGGCAAGTGGCGCAGCTGTGGAGGCGCGGCGAGGGAGAGGTGGAGGTCGGCCGACGCCTCGTAGACGTGGCTGAAGCCGCCGCTGCCAATCAGCTTGCCCTCTGCAAACCCATCGGTAGCCGCGGTGAGGTCCGACAGGGCTATCTCGACGGGCCGAGCAAGAACCGCCTCCGCCGCGGCCGGCTCGGCGGCGACAGACAGCTCTTCAAGCCGCGACTCCGCCGCGCTCACCTCCTCGGCCAAGGCAGGCAGCACTCCCACGTGCGGCCTGGCAGCGGCGATACCCGCTCGGAGCGCGGAGGGGCTGTCTGCGGTGTCGAGCGACTTGAGCGCGCCCATCGCCGCGCCATGCGCCTTGCGCAGCCGCTGGCTGTCCCGCTTCCGCGCCTCCTTGAGCTTGTCGCGCGCGCGCCTCTCCTCGAGCGCCGCCGCAAGCTCCGCCGCCGCCGCCGCCGCCACCCCCTCCTCCGCCGCCTCCTCTGCCGGCGCCTCGGCCTCTTGCGACGGCCCAGCGCCACCCCCGCCGCCCTGCTTCTTCTTCTTGCCCCTCTTCTTGGCCTTCTTCTTCTCCTCGGCGCACTTCTCCGACTCCTCCTCCGCCAGCAGCGCCGCCGCAGCCTCCTCGGCCGCCCTCTCGGCCTCCACCCTCTCGGCCGCCGCCCTTTCGGCCACTGCCCTCTCCACCTTCGCCTCAATCTCCGCTCTCTTCGCCTCCCTCGCCGCCGCCTCAAAGGCGCGCTCGCACTCGGTGTGGCCCTTCTCCTTGGCCAGCTGCAGCGCCGTATGCCCACCCGAGGTGCGCGCCGCCGTGTCAGCGCCCGCTCGCAGCAAGAGGAGCACGACCCAGGGGTGGCCTTGGATGCATGCGATGTGCAGGGGCGTCCAGCCGCGGCCTGTGGCTTGGTCGACCGCAGCGCTAGCCTCGAGGAGCAGCCGGGTGACGTCGAGCTGGCCCTTCTCGCACGCGATGTACAGCGGCGTGAAGCCGCCGCCCTTGGCTTGGTTGACCGCCGCGTTGGCAGCGAGGAGCAGCCGCACGCACTCGAGCTGGCCCTTCTGGCACGCGACGTACAGCGGCGCGGTGCCGTCATTCTTGGCTTGGTCGACCGCCGCACTGGCGCCGAGAAGCAGCCGGGCGCACTCGAGCTGGCCCTCCTGGCACGCCATGAACAGCGGCGTGGTGCCGTCGTCCCTGGCTTGTTCGACCGCCGCGCCAGCAGCGAGAAGCAGCCGGGCGCACTCGAGCTGGCCCTTCTGGCACGCGATGAACAGCGGCGTGGCGTCATCCGTCTTGGCTTGGTCGACCGCCGCGTTGGCCTTGAGGAGCAGCTGGGCGACGTCGAGCTGGCCCTTCTCGCACGCGATGTACAGCGGAGTGAAGCCGCCGCCCTTGACTTGGTTGACCGCCGCGTTGGCAGCGAGGAGCAGCCGCACGCACTCGAGGTAGCCCTTATGGCACGCGATGTACAGCGGCGTGGCGCCGTCGTTCTTGGCTTGGTCGACCGCCGCGCGGGCAGCGAGGAGCAGCCGGGCGCACTCGAGCTGGCCATTCTGGCACGCGATGAACAGCGGTGTGGAGCCACGGCCCGTCGTCGCCCCGACGCTCGCGCCGCACTCAAGCAGCAGCCGCACGGCGTGGGCCTGCCCGCGCTCAGCGGCGAGAATAAGCAGCGTGAAATGGTTCTCGGTCTCGAGCCGCGCGTCGAGCTCGGCCGTGAGCGCTGGGCCGCGCGTCCGCCCGGCGAGGAGGGCGCGCAGCGAGCCCAGGTTGCCCTGGCGCAGCTCGGCGGGCACGGCCGGGCTGATGGCGCCGCTCATGTTCATGCTGTTGAGCTCAAGGCTCCGACGGCGAGAAAGAATTCTTAAGCTTTCTCGTGGCGCGCGCAGCGCAAGCGCTTCCTTTGGGTTTAAAAGTTTATCGCCGTGGGCAGAGGAGAGCGACGAGACAGAGGATGAAGCGACAAGAGAACGACGAGAGTGGGACGACCGCGAGGTGGCATGAATTGCAGCGAATCGGCGAGGGACTGCGAAGAGGGCGCAGGTGGGGGACGGGAGTTCCGAGAGAGAGAGAGAGAGAGAGAGATTTTTAGCAATACCAAACAACTCTAACTTGTGAGTTCCGTCGCCGTCGGGTTCCCCTGCAGCCACGGCCGTCTTCTGACCTGTTTTGTGGTCTGCGCGCTGCGCTGCGCTGCGCGTCTCGAGGCGCGCCGCAACACAGCCCGTGTAAATGGGGTAATGGATGAACCAAGCATCCCCGATGGCCGGGGGGATGTCCCATGGCCCCGGGGTGGCCGTGGGCACGCAGGGGGCGCCGCTACGGGCCGCTGCGGCGCCCATTCTATTTCGAAGAATGCCATTCTGATTACCCGGTTTTTGAGATTCGCCTCGCAGATTACCCGGCCAACGATATTTTCCTGCTTAGCGCGATTTCCGTGAAACCAGTTTACCCAGTCTCCCACAATTCATGTTTCAGCTTACATGTACCCGGTCGCTAAAATTTCTCAGGGCAGATTAACCCGGTCGACCAAGTTTCTCGTCCAGATTACCCGGCAACGATTTTCCTGCTCAGCAGTAATTTCATCAAAAACTGACAAATCAGTTTACCCGGTCTCCCACCCACAATTCGCGTTTCATTCAGCTTACCCGGTGGCTAAAATTTCTCTCAGGGCAGATTACCCGGTCGGCCAAATTTCTCGTCCAGATCACCCGCGACCCGGCGGCTAACATACTTTTCTCTTTCAGATTACCCGCTCGGGCAAAATTTCTCGTTTCAGCTTACCCGGACACGGACGGCTGTCTAGCTAGGCGCAAAGGCCGGACTCAGCGTGAACCTCGTCCAGACAGAGAGCGAGCGCACCTGCGGCACGTGTCCTAAGGAGAGCTCCCACTCGGAATCCCCGGCCTCGTTTGCTTGAATGACGCAGTCGTGAATCCGTACAACTCTTTCAGATTACCCGGCGCATCCCACTACCGGGTGATCTGGAAAAAGAAATTTCGCGAGCCGGGTAACCTGGAAACGACATTTCGCCGTGTTGGGTAATCTGGAAATGACATTTCGCCGTGTTGGGTGATCTGCGAGGCAAAAATACGCAGACGCCGGGTGATCTGAAAAACGCCGGGTGATCTGCGAGGCGAATATAGAATGTAGGTCTGAGACCGCTGGTGCTGAGCTCATCATTCACACTGTCGTCAACCATGAGAGCGAGTGTAGGGCTAGCGGTAGGCCGCCTGCAAGTGACGTGACTCCCTTTCAGTTCATTCGAGCCGACTGCCCTTCTGGACGAAATCAATGGACATGTACATGTGCACGATGGTGGAGCCAACGCCACCACGGCGGCCAAGGCACCAGAGCCTGCGGAGGCGGCTCGCAAGGCAAAGGCTGCGTGCAAGAACACTGCGGTCTCGCCGAGAGAAGCAATGCGCAAGAGCGAGAGCAAGAGCAAGAGCAAAACCTCGAGCAAGAGCAAAACCTCACAGTCGAACGAGATGGGTCCTTTAAAGCCACAGGGATAGAATTAGGCACGCACCTCTACTTACTTACTCGCGCAGCACCAACCAACCAGCTGCCAGCCAGCCAGTCTGGTGCTGAGCTCATCATTCACACTGTCGTCAACCATGAGAGCGAGTGTAGGGCTAGCGGTAGGCCGCCTGCAAGTGACGTGACTCCCTTTCAGTTCATTTGAGCCAACTGTCTGCTGGCCCCGCCACCCCGCGCCGGGCTGTGAAAGACGAAATCAATGGACATGTCCGGACGACCCATGTCAGCAGTGCCGCCGCTCGATGCGGTGCTCTCGGAGCCAATGATCTTCTTGTCTGCCGCTCAGCGGCAGGTCGTGCAGCGGTACCAGCATCTTGCTGCGCTTGCAGATAGGCTGCCCTGCTGGGTGCCAGCTCGTACCGTGGCCGATGCGCTGGGCTTTGATCACTCCGGCATCGAGCTGGCGCTGCGTTTGGCGGGCCGCCCTTACGTGTGGGCCACAGAATTTGAGAACGTGCACTCTCTTTGGCGCTACGGGGAGCCAAACATCCTGGTGGACGGTCAACGCCACGCCTGTTCGGAGGATTACTACCAAGCTCAGAAGACAGTGCCTTACGACGACGGCGCGTGGTGCGCGCGGCGTGAGGGCGTGATGGAGGTGGCGGTGCGGGCCAAGCTGGCGGCCGACCCGGCGCTGCGGACGCTGCTGCTCGCCACGGCGCCGCACCCGCTGCTCTCGCTCAAGGCGGACCGCGTGTGGGGCGTCGACCCGCGCAAGGGCGGCGACAACCTGCTCGCGCGCCTCTGGGAGCGGCTGCGCGAGGAGCTGCTGCACCGCGGCGGCGGCGGCCGTGGCAGCGACGCGCCGGCCAGGGTCGCCGCCACGGGCGACGGCCCGCTCGCCACAATGGCCAACGGCCTGCCCGCCACCACGGCCGACGGCCCGCCCGTGCTCGTCGCGCCCGGCGACGAAGATGCGCACGCGCTGCTGTGCGCGCGAGTGCTGCCGCACCTGCCTCCCCTCGTGCAGCAGCAGATCGCCACCGGTCTGCGCGACCGCGAAGTGGCGCTCGCGCGGGTCGTCGGCCGCGACGCGCACGTGCCGGCGGGCCACGTGCTCGTGCACGGTGCGCCGCTGCCGCTCGCCGAGCTGCACGCCCTCGCGGCGGCGGGCGGACTCGACACGTGCCTCGCCGCATGGCCGCTGTGGCGCGAGGCCGACGGTGCGGCCGCCGCCGCCAACGCGGCGGACGAGGCGGGGGCGGCACACGGCGTGCTGCAGCGCGAGGTGGGCGCCGTCGCCCTCGCACTCGGCTCGCGCGCGCCGCCCGTGGCCGTGCGTGTGCGCTACCGCGGGCGCGAGGCGGCGGAGGTGCACGTGCTGCCGACGCTGACGGGGCTGCAGCTCAAGTCGAAGGTGATCGCCGAGCTGGGCCTCGACGGCGGCTTCCAGCACTACTACCTGAAGCTGAACCGCGCGCCGTTCGGCGCGCGCTCGCGGGTCGCCGAGCACGACGGCTGGTGCGACGGCTGCGTCGTCGAGCTCGAGGACGTCGGCGAGGGCCAGGCCAAGGCCATCGGGCACACGTGACGTCGGCAACACGGCATTCGCGGACTCTGCCTTTCGTAGGGTGCCCACAGGACCCAAAAGAAAATAGCTTTCGGGCTCAAAAAGGGACGCACGAGGCAAATCTGATGTTGGAGATATGGAGTGTTCCAATAGGAGCGAGGCCTCTTCCGTTGGGGGACCGAGTGACTAGGAAACGAGGGTTCCCCATTGTGTCCCCTTCGCGTGCCAGCGTGACACTGCACTTGGCGCCGAGCGCCCGCGGCACAGACCTTGTGCAGGCCTCCCCTCATATTGAGTGCACCGGTCCGGACCGATGGCGCTCGGTGTTGGAGCAAGCAAGACCCCCCCCCCCCCCATCGGCGCGTGCCCGACCTTTGAACGGCCGCCAGGAGCACCAAGAGGACTCCTCATGGCTGCACTCAAGTGGGGGCTTCGACCGGCCTCGGCTGGGGGGGTGGGTTGTCCCGGTTGCGGACGCCTTCTGCAGCCCCCTGGGATGGGGACAGCACCCCAAAACTGCCCCTCGGCGGCATACAGCACTGCCAGCCAGCCTCTTCCTCCTCCTCAAGGGCTGTACTATAGGCCATATTGCGCCGCCTCCTACTGGCAGCCGGGCGGGCGCGCGCCGCGCGCGCCTCGGCGCGCGCACGGCTCGCAAAGCTCGAACGAGTACTGCCGCACCTGGCCGCCTCTCAAGGCTGCCGGGCGGCAGTACTCGCCTCGCAAGGCGCGCACCAACTGCTCTGGCTGCTGCGCCGGCGGCCGCTGCGCTGGCCGCTGCTGCGCCGGCTGGCAGGCGGTACGGCCGCCGGCGGCCGCTGCACCCGCGCCTTCCCTCGCGGGCGCCGTCGCGCCGTGCGCGCCCAAGTGTGCTGGCACACGGCACGCGTCGTCACTCAGCCGGGAGAACAGGCGGTGCTGTGCGCGAAGCGCGCGCGATCTCGTACTTTTAAGGCTGGATCCGGCCATTCCAAGGGTATACCTTTGAGAACCCCCCCGCCCGTGTGGCCGTGTCCCACCCTCCTAGTCACACTCTCAATTTCTCGGACTCTCCAACACGAAGTGCTGCGATCGGGGTTGGCCCATTTCTTTTTTACTTTCTTTTTTTGGGCCCTGTGGGCACCCTACACCCGCGCTAGGTCTCGGGGGACGCAGCTCGCAGGCAGGGGTTGTCACACCCGACGACCTCGGGAACTAGCCGGGGTAGTCGGAGAAGGGGCAACTCCGTGCACTGACGGTCGGCCGTCAGAAAACACGCCTCCGTGGCTCGGGTTACACCAATCCTCGCTACCCAACGGGCCAAAGGATATCCACCTCGAGAACCTCGAGAGCATACCAGTAGGGTCCCCATCTGGTGCGGTCTGGGGGCCAGCAGCAACCACACACACAACACCGCCTGGCGAGCGTCGCGCAGCGGCACACCTGCTCAAAAACGGAAGGGCCCGGTTGGACCCACGGGGCTCACGCACTCGCTCGGGGGCGCCGCCTCACTCTCTGCGCCACTTTTGAGGCGTGAGGGCCGGTGAGGCGGCGCCCCGCGCGGCGCGTTCCTCGCCCTCCACGCCGTCCCTGCGCACGTGTGGATATGGCGCGCCACCGCGCGGTCCGAGGCCTGGCCAACACGTGGCGTGACGAGCTCGACGACTTGGAATACCAAGACGACGACGAGGACTGGGCGCCGGCGAAGCCTGCCAAGCCCGCGAAGCCAGCAAAGCCGGCGGCGGCGCCTGCTGCTCCCAAGCCGTTTGTCTCCAAGAAGGAGCGGCAGAGACTGCAGCAGCAGCAGCAGCAGCCACCGCCGCAGCAGCCGCAGCAGCCGCAGCAGGATCCCGCTGCGACACCTTCGGCGCCCGCGCTGCCACCGGGGCTCAAGCCGCCGCCGGGTCTGTGCGGAAGCGCGGCGAGCTCCTCGACGGCTGAGGGCCCTCCGTCCGAGCCCTCGCTCGAGCACCTCGTGCTGGGGGCCGCCCCTTCCTCTCCAGCCGCCTCCGCCTCCTCCGCCGCCCCTCCCCTCCCGCAGCTCAACCTCGTCGTGGTGGGGCACGTCGACGCCGGGAAGTCACCTCGGAACCTTCTCGGAACTTTCTCGGAGCCTTCCCTGTAGGTGTGGCGCAGCTCGTCGTGGCAGTCAACCTCGGAACTGTCTCAGAACCTTCTCGGAGCCTTCCCTGTAGGTGGGGCACGTCGACGCCGGGAAGTCGACTCTGATGGGCCGTCTGCTGCTGCTCGCGGGCGACGTCGACGCGCGCGCGCTCCGCCGCGGCGGCATGAGCGCGCCGCGTCCCTTTTCACACGTCCGAGCCTGAACAGGCGCGTGCGCTGCACCGCTGCGAGCGCGAGGCGGCGGCCCTTGGCAAGGAGTCGTTTCGGTACGCGTTTCTGCTCGACCACGGCGCCGACGGAGGGAGCGAGGCTCTATAATTCGCTCAGTGATGATTCCCCAATTCACAATGACCGTAGGTGCCGACGAGAGGGAGCGAGGCGTCACCATCGACGTCTCCGCCGCCTTCCTCCGCACCCGCCGCCTCGCCCTCAATGTGCTCGACGCGCCGGGCCACCGCGATTTTGTGCCAAACATGGTCGGCGGCGCGGCGCAGGCGGACGCGGCGCTCCTCGTGCTCAACTCGTCGGCCGGCGAGCTCGAATCGGGCTTGGCGGGGCAGACGGGCGAGCACGTCTGGCTCTGCCGCGCGCTGGGCGTGGCGCAGCTCTGCGTCGTGGCAGTCAACCTCGGAACTGTCCCGGAACCTTCTCGGGGCCTTCCCTGCAGGTGTGGCGCAGCTCGTCGTGGCAGTCAACCAGATGGACTCCGTCGGCTGGGCGCGGGAGCCTAGAAAGCGGAACACAGAGACCGCGGAGCTTGCGCTCGAGAGGAGACGTCTTCCACTCCGGCGTAGCCGGCTTGTACTCCGCTGTGCTCGCCTCCCTCGGTACCCACGCGGTGCCCCTGAAGACTCTGCACAGTATCCGTACCGGCGTAGCCGGCTTGTACTCCGCTGTGCTCGCCTCCCTCGTACCCACGCGGTGCCCCTGAAGACTCTGTGCACAGTATCCGTACGCTGCGCGACCGGCGTGGCGATTCCTACCCCACACGACCACGGGACCGAACCCGCGCTGGATTCGAGACTCTGGGAGGTATGGTACTCACGCCGCAGGCGCGGGAGCGGTTCGAGGAGGTGCAGGCGCGGGTTCGGCCGCTACTCTCCCAGGCGGGGTACGCCGCGCCGCGCTTTGTCCCCGTCTCGGCAATGCGAGGAGTCAACTTGGGCGGCGGCGGCGGTGGTGGCGGTGGCGGCGGCGGCGGCGGCGGCGGCGGCGGCGGCGGCGGCGGCGGCGGAGGCGGCGGAGGAGGAGGAGGAGGAGGTGCGGCAACGGCCGAGCTGAGCTGGTATGATGGCCCGACTTTGCTCGACGCGCTCGACACGCTGGAGGCGCCGGCGCGGCCGCCGGGCGTCGGCACGCGGCCGTGCGCCAACGAGGCGCCCGGGTTTTTTCTTTTTTCTTAATTTTTCTTTTTCCTAGGCACGCGGCTGTGCGTCAACGACGCCTTCCGCTCGACGGACGCGGGCGCGGCGTCGGTCGGAGCTCACCATTAAGCACTGGCTAACATTGACGAGCTGACTGATGGGCGAACTAGGCGCGGCGTCGCTCGGCGCCTTCACGCTCAGCGGGACCCTGCAGGCGGGCGAGATGGCGCGCGGCGCTCGGCTGCTGCTGCTGCCGGCGGCCGAGCAGGCCGCCGCCAAGACGCTCCGCCCGCGCCTCTTGCTTAGTGTTCACTGCTTACCTTAAGGTAGACGAATTCGTTATTCAACTACTCAGGTCACCGTCAAGACGCTCCGCTCGCGCGGCGCGCCGGTGGAGCGGGCGGCGGCGGGGGACCACGTCGAGGCTTGGCTCGCGCAGTCTCCCTCAGAGCCGAGCGTCGTCGGCGCGGGGTGCGTGCTCTGCGACGCGAGCAAGCCGGCGCACCGCTCGCGCGGCCGGGCGAGGGAATGGCTCCATGAGCGAATGGCCATCCGTGACCGTGAGTGAATCAGGCGCCGCTCGCGAGGCTGGTCGAGGTGCAGCTGCGGGTGCTGCCGTGCGGCGCCGCCCTCAGCCGCGGCATGCCGTGCGAGGCGTATTGCCACGCCGCGAGCGTGCCCGCCGTACTCGCGTCCTTGGTCTGCCGCATCGACCGGCAGGGCAGGCGGGTCAACACACACACACGCACACACACACACACAGACACACACACACCGCTCACCCACGCGCACCGGGCTTTGCACTTTATTGCCGTGCGGCTCCTGTCGTCTAGGAGTCGCGAGGGGGCTAGCCTGGCCCTTGCCCCACCACCTTGTGTGTGTGGAGGAGTTTACCTGACCTTACCTAGCCTTAGGCGGGTCAACGGGCCGCGCCCGCGCGTACTCCTCCCCGGGGGGGCGGCGGTGGTGCAGCTGCAGCTCTCGCGCGCCGTCTGCGTCGAGCTGTACGCGGCGTGCAGGCCCATGGGGCGGGTCGTGCTGCGCGAGGGCGGAAAGACGCTGGCGGCCGGGACGATCACCGCTGTCCTGGCGTGAGACTGGAGAGGTTGAGTCTCCGCGGCCCGCGCACGTTTCATGTTCATCGGGATCTTTCTCTCTGTCCACAATCACCGCGTCGGGCGGCCACCCAACACACGCATATCGGTTTCGGTGCACAAGAATCAAGATGTCTCATGTCCACGCGCGGGGAGTGTTTTCTCCTGGGCAGTCTCTTGTACGTACAACAACAACATATGTCAACAGCTAAGCTAACTAAGTAGAAGAGGCATTCGAACACACAAAATACACGCTAGAGAGCGTCTAGGCTACTCGCCGCCCATCGTTCTCGTTGTTTGCGGGTCGGCGGCGGGGGCTGGCGGCGCCGCCAGGTCGCCGCGGCTCGAGATGGAACTGAGGACGAGGAGCCAGAAGAAGCTCACCAGCGCGATGAAGGGCACGCGCCACTGCGGCGGCACCACCCCAAAGGTGAGGCACTGCACGGGCGTCCAGAGCGCCCAGTACTTGAGCAGCAGGTCGCGCCGCGCGTCCTCGACGTACCTGCGCAAGCCCTCCCGCAGCGGGCGGCGGAGGACCGCGGCCTTGACGAGGTAGAGGACAGGTAGACACAGCAGCGGCGTCAGCACGAGCTGGTCGAAGACCACCTTGACCGCCACGGTCGCTGGGTCGTCGCCCTCGCCGAACCAGAGCGGGTAGCGGTCGTTGAAGAGGTAGTACTGGGTGCACCCCTGGTACAGCCCGCCGTAGAGGAGGAAGGCCAGCGACCGCTGCCACGAGTAGCCGCGCCGCTCGGAAGGCTCCAGCACCTCGCAAGACACGTCGTCGCAAGAGACGATCCCGGCCTCCGGCTCCGCCTCAATGGCGGCCAGCTCGCGCGCCTGCGTGATGCAATCCGCGATCGTTGCCTTAAACGCGGTGATGCAGAAGGCCGACTGGTACGGCGCCGCCCGGACCCACTCGTCGGCCACGCTGTAGATGTCGACGACTGACAGTGTTGCCGGGCGCAAGCGCGAGCGGCCGAACGCAGGTGCTAGCGGTCGGTGACCCGCGGCTTGCAACGCTGCTCCCGAAACGACCAGCGCCAACCCGAACAGAAGGCGCATTCCCGATCGTTCAGAAGGGAGCGCACTGGCACAACTTTGTCGCAAAGGCAGAACGCGAAAGGGGAAAAGGATCCTCGGCGCTGTTCACAGCTAGCTCTCTGCGGCAAAGTCAAACCACCCCACCTACCGGGGAAAAGAATGTGCGTGCTGCGAAGTATCCCAGTATCTGGTCTGGCTCCGCGAAGTAGAAGTAAGAAAATACTCCAACTCTCCTTACCTACTGAGATGTGCCCGCCGACGCGCATCCATGGACGCCGAGCTAGATGCCGAGCCTCCTTGCCTTGCAGATCTCAATGACGACCTGTTGCGGAAGATTGCCAGTCGGCTTGCCGAGTCTGACCTGGCTTCCGCCGTCGCCCTCAAACGATGCAGCAGCCGCTTCAAGGACCTCGCCACCCCGCTGGTGGCAAACGCCGTTTCAAGGATAAACACGAAGTGGCGGGATGCGGCAGATAAAATCGGCGACGAGGGCGCTGCTCGGATCAGAGGCGGACTCGAGCGCAACGAGGTGCTGACCACCCTCGCGCTCCCGCACAACAACATCGGCGCGGAGGGCGCAGCCGCGATCGCGGAGGCGCTACGCGGCAACACGGTGCTGACCACCCTCGACCTGAGCGGCAACGAGATATGCGGCATTGACGAGGACGGTGATGGTGCGTACGATGCGTCCGGCATCGTTGCGCTCGCGGACGCCCTCAAGGTCAACGGGGTGCTGACCACCCTCAACCTCGCCAACAACCAGATCCGCGACCAGGGCGCCGCTGCGATCGCGGAAGCGCTGCGCGGCAACGGGGTGGTGACTGAGCTAGACATCTCCTGGAACCAGATCGGCCCCACGGGTGCCACCGCGATCGCCGACGCCCTTCGCGTCAACGGGGTGCTGAGCAACCTCGTGCTCCGGGACAACAACATCGGGGACGAGGGTGCCGCTGCGCTGGCCTCTGCTCTTCGCGTCAACGAGGTGCTGACCACTCTTGACTTGTCGGGCGACCCATACAGCAGCGGCGGCATCGGCCCCGAGGGTGCCAGCGCGATCGCAGAGGCCCTTAAGGTCAACGGGGTCCTGACCTCCCTCAATCTCACTGGAAACAAAATCCGCGCCAAGGGCGCCGCCGCAATCGCCGAGGCGCTGCGCGGCAACGGGGTGCTGACCTCCTTGAACGTGGGCTTCAACAGCCTCACCGAGGAGGCGGCCCTCGGCATCGTGCGTGCCGAGCGGCAGCGCAACAAGCTGACCTCGCTGGGCTTGGCTCGCTGCAACATTGGCCCGACTGGCGCCGCAGAGATCGCCGAGTACGCGTCGGGCAGTGAGGTGCTGACCGACCTCAACATCAGCGAGAACATCATCGGTGCCGAGGGCGCCAAGGCGATCGGCAAGGCACTCGCGGTCAACGCGGTGCTGACCACCCTCGTGCTCTCCGACACCCGCATTGGCGACGAGGGCGCCAAGGCACTGGCCTCCGCTCTTCGCGTCAACGAGGTGCTGACCACCCTCAACCTCTCCGACAACGACATCCGCGAGGAGGGTGCCAAGGCGCTAGCATCCGCTCTTCGCATCAACAGGGTGCTGAACAACATCGACCTCCGCTACAACGATTTGGGCGAGGAGGGGAAGGGAGTGATTCGAGATGCGGTGAGCGGGCGGGAAGGGTTCAGGCTCAAGATGTGAGTGGGCTCTGAGAGCGGAGTCGGCCAGGGGGGCGTACGTGCATGGGATTAGAGTCTTGAGAAGCGCTTCGGCGTCGGGGAGATTGATTTCTTTTTGCGTGGTAAAATTCTTTTTGCGTTTTTCAGCAGGGTGCTCTGAAAAGCATCAACCTCGAGTACAACATCAACAAGTTGGGCGACGAGGGGAAGGGAGCGATTTGGGATGCGGTGAGCGGGCGGGTAGGGTTCGAGCTCCCAGGATATGTCATATGAGTGTGAATTCTGAGAGTGACCACGACGCACTCTCTCATGACTAGCGCCATCCCACGACAGCGTCTGTGTGGGGACTACATGATCCGTACATGAAGTTTTCTCCCAGGGGGACTAGCACTAGCCGTCTTCCACATGGTCCCTCGGGTCCCTGCTGCTCCTAATCTCGTCGTACATCCTCCTGCTGATCTCCGCAACATCCTGCTCCCTCCCTCGTCTCGCCCTGCGCGTCTGCTCCGCCTCCCCGTCGTCCGCCCTGCGTCGTCTGGTGACGGGTCCTCCATAGTCGGTTGAGGTCGCCGCCCTCCTCGTGCCTCTTCCCAACGAGCAACGTTTCCTCGGCAGCCGATGCCGTCTGCTCCGACTCCGCCGTCCCCGGGTCTGCCCTGCCCTCGTCTGCGCTAGCTTCTGTTTCGTCATCACTGATGTCCGTCCTCTTCTTTCTCCTCTTGTTGGTATGCTTTGTACATCGCGTCGATTCCTTTTCGCGTGAGCACCAGCCTGAAGCCCGCCCAGCAGCTGAACCGCTCCCTAAGTCGAAGGAGCATCATCAGTCTCACCCACTTCGCTCGCTGCCGACTGTCTCCGCTCCCTCCCGCTTGGGCCGCCGTCGCGTCCCTCGTTCGTCCCACTAGCTGTTGGCCTGTCCCCACGTGGTGAGACCACTGATTTTGGTGTCGAACATAAATTCTCGCCACTGGAACACACATGCTACTACAGCTGCTGTCTGTACAGAGATGAGAGATGCCAGCACCCCCCACAGGCAGAGCGCTCCTGCTGGGGCGGGGGGTCCGGACCCCCCCAGCAGCAGAGCGCTGCTGCTGGTGGGGGGGGTCGGCCATGGCTTTAGATGTGCAGGGGGGGTACCGAGCAGTGTGCGGCCGCTCCGGGCGGTGTCGCGGCGGGCGCCATCATCGAGTCGAGACGCGGCGGCTACGTCAGAGAGAGGGGGGTGTCTCGTACGGCACCCGCCAGCGGGCGGCTCTCTCACGGTGCACGGCGCCGAGGCGGCCTCGCGCTTGGGCGGCGCCCTTGGCCAGGGCGGCCCGCGCGCCGACGACACCGGCGCACCCATAGCTCCGCCGTTCATGGAGGCAACCGATGCGAGCATGCGAGTCTCGACTGCCCCGTACTCTCTCTGTCTCTGTACGTACGTACTTATAGCTTACTGGGAGAAAAGAGAGCGGGTCTCTCTCTCTGTACGTACTTTTAGCTTCGCTTTGCGCGAAAGCGGACTGTTGATCGCAGAAATCGTCGTTGTTGGTCGGGTCGGCTTACTCTGCGCGCCGCTCAGACGTCTGTGAGCGCAGTGCCGCAGGCAGCAACGATGGAGACGAACCAGAGCGGCGCCATGAAGACGCTTCTCGTCGTCACCGCCGCTTTTGGTGCGCACAACCGCCATCCATTCGAACCGCCATCCATTCGGCCCTGCAGCTTCCCACCGCATGCCCCTTGCGCAATTGGTACTAATGCCGTTGCAGGCGGGGCGGTGGTCGGCACCCTCACCGCGCATACGCTGGCCCCGGCGCCAGCACTCAAGGCGTCGTTCGTTGCGGCTGAAAAGATGGAGCCGTTCAAGGTGTGCGAGCCGCCTCACTCATAGCTGGCTTTCCTTCACCCTCGCATGCCCTGCCTCCCCAACTCCACCGTCTGCCGCAGAGCTCCGAGGAGAAGTGGGACTTCTTCCGGCTGTTCGAGATCCCGTTTTGGGGCGGCTGCGAGAAAATCGCCTGGAAACCGTGGATGGAGGGCTTGACCACAATCAGTAATCCCAATGCCCTCCATCCAATCAGACATCCCAATGGCGAAGCTCTGGCGCCGGACAACATGCCGTGCTGCGATATAGTTCTGGGCCCATGGAAATCGTTGCCGGAAGGCACCCTATCCTTCGACCCCTGCGACGTGGACTTCACTTCAACCGGACTCTCAGTGACGCTCGACTCCGTGGGGCCAGACAAGAAATATAGGGAC